ATCAATTCAATCACTATAGATGTACAGTCGTTTTCCTAGTTCCGGATTTTTCCTAGCCTTTACCAAGGCTATCACCTTGTTCCCGTCATATTATGTCTATGGTTCTCATACGAGCTTAACACCCCGCCTTGCAAGGTACGAGCGAAAGCGGCGAGTTTTTTATCGCTGGAAATTAAATATTCTAACACAAAACTCAGTCTTATTATTTGTTGAATTGCGGTAATCGCTGCTAAATATTCGAACCAGCCAACGATCCTGCAAACTCGATATAATATTTTCTAAAGACTGCCCTTTTCCATTTTTCACCAGCGCACCCCCCAATATTTTGTAAAGCGTGCCCTTTTTTTTAACAAGTGCCTTTTTTTCTGAACAAGTGCCCTTTTAAAAAAAAAGTCTTGCCCCTTTTTTCCCCAGGAGGACGGTTGGTTCGAGTCTCACGGCTCCCACCCGAGTGATTTTTCCACCTTTCACTCGGAAAGTAACACACTACAGTTTTTATACGTCATCATCATTCTCCTGATAGGCTCATCAGTGTGCTCGTGTCTTGTGGTCAACTGCTATAGCTGGCGCACCCATGGGGAGGTCGGCCCCTGGTCTCTTCCATGATCCAGGCAGTGTCAGGGTGGAGTCCCACTAGTACGTCGACAACTTTCCAAGGCGTTTGAGATATTCCGATTCAATAAATATTTATTTCCACTCCATGGAGGCATCATAAGGCCGAAGCTTGTGGCGCGAACGATTTTCGTTTTCACAAAGTTTGCACACAGTGTACTTGATGAGTGTTACTTCGTGACAACGAAATTTCGCGCGTGGTGCGAACTCAAGTCCACTTGAGTGTCAGTACTTCGTGGTGTCGCTGACGAATGATAGAATTTAGAAATATTAACAATAGTTAAATATGTAACAGATAAATAAGTAGACTCGACAAAAAACAACATTTCAATAACGGCCAAATAATGAATCAGGCATTCGAGAATTATAGGAATGTTTTTAGTTTATTCAATGTATTACTTGAAGGGCAATTAGGTATATACCGTGTTCCTAGCTCCATGGTTATACGGTACGGTGAAAGGCAACCTCGACCCCAGGGTGTCGAGCAGTACGCGCCCATCACTACCTGCTCTCTCTCACCCTGGTATTGGATCATTTGCATGTGCAAGATTTTTGAACACGTATGCAAATGAGGAATAGTCTGGTGCCTGCTTGTGCGATACATTTGCGTTTGTTTTTGTATGCGGTGTCTGGGGTAAAAGCAGAGTCAATTCGTCGCAGCGCGCGCGCGAGCATGGCGTGAGTTACGAAAAACACGATTTATTTAATTAAATTGTTACGATCTTACCGAGACAACATGTAGTATCACATTTCATATTAACATGAACAAATTGGGAAGGAAATGAGTATTTTCGAGAAGGCGTGGACGAATAATCGTGAGAACACGTACTGCACGTTGTGAATAACAACACCAGGTACACGACAAAAACCCATTACTAGCCAATTGCCGTATCGAATCAGGATGCAGGAAGAAAGTTTCCTATCCAGGGTTCACTATTGGAAACTAGGTTGGAAATAAAGTAAGCACTGGGGACGAGGTTGGGTGAAAGGTAGTGTCTATGGGTGCAGTACACTAATTAAATTGAGAATTTTTACGCGAGCTCATTAGCATAAAAGGTAACCCCAGGCGCGGTTCTAGAACCAATATTTTTTTGGGGGGAGGGGGGGCTAGCAGGGTGGATCCAGAATTTTTTTCTGGGAGGCGTATTTTCTCCGGACACTTAGGCCTCCGAAAATCAATAGGGGGGGGGGCGCTCGTGCCATATTTTCAATGGGGTGCGCCAATAAAATCCTAAAATCAGGCACACTATATTGACTACAAATGCACCCTTGTGTCACGGCTATTTCTTTAGGGGGAGAACGTTCGCATCTACATCACAATCCTTCTTTTTGCTAATGCTATATTTTGTTACGGATTTTTTTTGGGGGGGGGGCTAGACAAACCCCCCCCCCCCCCCACACACACACACACACACAATTTATTTAGAAAATGGAGACCGTTTGGCTATAATAACGGTGGAATTGTGTGAATAGACCCAATGATCAACTCCCTGGTTTGGGGGACTTCAATCTGCATCTTAGGGCAGAATTGATAAAATTACGGTTGAAAAATGGGTCTTATTTGCCTGAGAAAGTGGAAGGATGCCACTTGTGAAATGGCTCACATGCAGGCTTGGGAACTATCACTTTTCGGAAGGTGATTTTGTTTTGGTGTAAATATTGTAACGTCGAACGAATCTCGGGTTCTCACACGCCAGACGAAGGAAACCACAGACTCTATTCTTCAGGGCTTCGGGGCTCTCCGGCCATTTATTCTTTCCACTTTCTTTACACGAGGCTCTCTCTTTATACAACTCACAACAAAAAGGAACGCTATACAAAAGTCACACTACTGAGTCGGCGCAGTCTGGCAACGGGTCTCCCTGGCCCAGCAGCAGGGGTCCCAACGCTAGGTTGCACCGTGGGTCCGTGCTGGCGCCCTCTGCCAGCGGCCCGGCACCGCCGTTACACAGCCCCCTCCGAGGACCCTTGTTCGTCCCCGAACAAGGCGGCGCCTCCGCTGGGGTATCCGCTTGGGTCTCCTGGTCTCCTCTGTGGTCTCCTCCAGGGTCACCTCTGGGGTCTCCTCTGGGCCCACCCCGGGGTCTCCTCTCCATTGACTCCTGTGCGGAGAAACTCCATCGGCTCCGCTCCATTGAGTCCCGTGCGGAGCAACTCTATCGGCTCCGCTCCATTGAATCCCGTGCGGAGCAACTCTACCGACTCCGCTCCATTGATTCCCGTGCGGAGCAACTCGCCGGCTCCGCTCCATTGATTCCCGTGCGGAGCAACTTCGCCAGCTCCGCTCCATTGAATCCCGTGCGGAGCAACTCTACCGGCTCCGCTCCATTGATTCCCGTGCGGAGCAACTTCGCCGGCTCTGCTCCATTGATTCCCGTGCGGAGCAACTTCGCCAGCTCCGCTCCATTGAATCCCGTGCGGAGCAACTCTACCGGGGAACACGCATCCGGCGCTTGTACATGCGCGGAACGGGGCCGTTTCGGAGGGAAACCGTGCCCGGTGTATTGGTGTCCGTGGAACGGAGCCGTTCCGGATGAAACATGCGTCCGTTGTATGAATGTGTGTGTTACGGGGCTGTTCCCATCGCTGGCCCTGGCACGTGTGTTGATGCGGGGCGTCTCCGGACGATCAAGCCCGGCCAGCCCCGCTTTATCAACAGGCGCAACTCGGCAGTGTTCCGAGTGGAACAGAGCGTCTGTTGCGCCGTGGTGCACAGTGCGGCGCGATTCCCCAAGGGATGCGTCCGTTGTATGAATGTGTGTGTTACGGGGCAGTTCCGGGGGGAACGTGCACCCGGTGAATTGGTGTTTGTAAAACGGAGCTGTTCCGGAGAAAAACATGCGTCCGTTGTATGGTGTGTGTGTTACGGGGCTGTTCCCATCGTGGGCCCTGGCACGTGTGTTGATGCGGGGTGTCTCCGGACGATCAAGCCCGGCCAGCCCCGCTTTATCAACAGGCGCAACTCGGCAGTGTTCCGAGTGGAACAGAGCGTCTGTTGCGCCGTGGTGCACAGTGCGGCGCGATTCTCCATGGGATGTAGCATGTGGGCCTCGCTGGCTCCCCGAAACACTGAAAAAGTCCAACTCCGAGTCATCAAACGTGACGAACGCTTTGCTGGCCATCTCACCAGGTTGGTTTACGCTCTGCGAGGCCCTGATCCAGCGTGAGTACCCGCCGAGTGGCGAGTCGGACGCCAGACTAACTCGACCCGGTGTATTCATGGCAAAAAACACTCCAAATTCTACCTGTTTTTCCTCCGTCAGACATGCCACGGCTGCCACCAATGTAACGTCGAACGAATCTGGGGTTCTCACACGCCAGACGAAGGAAACCACAGACACTATTCTTCAGGGTTTCGGGGCTCTCCGGCCATTTATTCTTGCCACTTTCTTTACACGAGGCTCTCTCTTTATACAACTCACAACAAAAAGGAACGCTATACAAAAGTCACACTACTGAGTCAGCGCAGTCTGGCAACGGGTCTCCCTGGCCCAGCAGCAGGGGTCCCAACGCTACGGTTGCACCGTGGGTCCGTGCTGGCGCCCTCTGCCGGCGGCCCGGCACCGCCGTTACAATATTTAAAAATGTAATTGACTTGTCTACCCAAAATTGAAAAGAAATAAAAACATGAAGGACAAGACAAGGATTTAATTTTTGTTTGAGAAACCCCAGTGATGTCGGCTTGCATGTTATTTGGCCCTGAACTTTGTTAATTTTACACTGTTTTCTATGGGGGCTTGAATTGGTTCAGTCATGGTTCGCTCGTACCCCCCGCCCTGCAAACAGGACGCTGGGATACTCTGATGAGCTTCACAGAATCTTGTGAAGGAAGTGGCCTATGACCTATGTATAAAGCATCTGGCTGCAGCTGTTCAAGACCGCAGTCAGACAATGTGCACAAGTGCTATCCGAAAACTTCCCATAGAATTGCGCACATTCCATAACGGATGTGATTTCTGTTTTATTGACAATTTTGAGCGTCGCCGTAATGCAATCCGATCGTTCGTGATTCGAAACGGAGCCTGAGCAAGTGACGGGAATTGTAAATTTACAACACAGAATTTCCTACATTATTACACTTTTGAACGAGAAAAAAACATCTCTAAACTGGTCACTGGAATAAAAAAAAGTAATGAATCAGTCTTAACGGCCGTTTCAAACCTTGCAGAGACATTACCTTAATGACGCGCAGGTCACTGGTCACGAAAAATCCCACCAATCAGAGCGTGAATTTATCAGAGTATCCCAGGATTATTCCCAGCGTCCTGTTTGCAGGGCGGGGGTACGAGCGAACAGTCATGGCCGAAGTGCATCCCTGGCTCTAGAGATCAGCGATTTGGTGTATGGAAACTGCGTGGCAGCGGTAAAAAGCGCCCTCTCGTGCGCTACCCGCTTCCGGAAAGGTGACCGTTTTAGCCGATTTTCGGTTAGATCTGACAGATTTGTGTTTTTTCAACCCACGAATTTAGCACAAATTCTAGCGGAATGAAAAATTTAGCAGATTTCTAGCAGAATTCTGTACAATTGGTGATCCTATATCATAAATAATATCAGATTTGTAGGTACAGGTTAGCTTGAGTAACTCCAGCTTAATAAGCTCATCACATGTGAATTCCTGATGAGCTTGTTAAGCTGGAGTTACTCTAGCTCTGTGTGGAGCGAGGCTCCGTTAGAACGGAGGGTACCGTAGTCCATGGTTCAGTTACTCAAGCTATAGTAAAGTACGGTAAAGTATTGTAGCCTCGGCATGGTAGCCAGTTTTTAACTTTTTAATTCTTTTAAAGTAAATTTCATGACTTTTGTTTTTAAACGTAAATTTTGTAAACATCTGCTTGAGAGTAAATGTGTGTTTATAATGCGTCTCATTTGATTCTGGGTGGTTTCGCAGATTTTTTATTAAATCTAGCAGAATTTTGCGATATTCATCTGGTCATGTCACCGGCACCCTACTAGAAAAAAAACACCCCGGCCCTGGCCCTGTCCCGTCACGCTGATACCAAGTTGTAAGTTGTAGGCTGTGGAAATGGCAGAAATTACTTCTTTCAAACCAGACAAACAACAGACAGGAACGATGAAAAGACCGGCACAATCGTCAAAGGTAAATATATACTCATGAATTTTGAGCCAATTCGACATCTCGTGGGTGCAATGAATTTTGTGACAGAATTGTGGATCCATTTGTCATGTTCCCTGTTGAGCCTGAGCTGAGGTACAACTACATGTAGGCCTACAACTTTACAAGTATCCTCGTGTGATCATTATTCGCGCACTTAAGACTTTGACCGAAATTTTAACATAATAAACTAAGCTTTACATGGTTTTAGAATTCACAGTTGTTAGTATGACTAATACCTTACCTGGACAAATATTTTGAAGAATACCGAACGTCGCTAAAGCAACAGAACCACCGTGGTACGCACATGAGTCGGAATAGTTGTTACAAAAGTTTCGTGACCATAATTCGCACACGCAGGGTAAAGGTCATTCTATGGCTTGTCCACTGTATCCTACTTCTGAAAATTATGTGAATCGGCGCCTCTTGAATCTGGGACAAGTTTGTATGTGTTGTACACTGTGTTTGTGGTTTGATAAATTATCTTTATTCACCATCCTCTCGGGTTTTTCTTCTCTTTCTCTATTGTTTTTCATTCAATTCAATTCTAATTCCAGTTGGCATTTATTTCTGTACTATCAAATCCGTGCTAATTACAAGCAATATATTAAATTATCTAAATATGCAATTAGCAATATCGAAAGGATATACATACATAGATAATTATATATATTTTTGTAGTGAAAAAAAAGATGAATATAGGCCTATAGTGGGAAAATATATAAAGTTAAAACAGTGTTCACCTATGATCTAGAAACGTGGCAAAATTCATCGGTGAGCACTGTTTTCACTACAGATATTTCTTCCACTGTTGTTACATTAAACAAATAATCAATTAGCAAAACGATTTTCATGAAATTTCATGTTGAAATTTTGATACACAAACTTGTGCAAAGGAATCTGGAAATTTCAAGAAAAATAGACATCTGAAAAAGGCAGCACTTTCTGATTATCCTATAAAGAGGGTGAGTATGCTTCTAAAGCAAAAATAAACTAGCCTTTATTTACGGTGGTAGTCCAGTAAATTGGCCACATTTATGGGGCTAGAGAGATTCATACACTGGACTCATTTGCGTGTACTCAACGGAGTCCAACCTGGGCTAACATCGATGATGATGGTTGTACTTAAGTTTATTTACCATCCGGATGAAAAGTGAAATTAAATGTTCAATTCCGAGAGCTCCCCTCGCGATCGTGAACACGTTAAATTTCTGACTGGTGTTAATGTTTGAACGCTGCGATGTGGTCTTCATGCCCAGCATACATTCGATGGTCCCCGTATCCCGAGGGCGATTCCATTACCGAGCGTGATGCATCGATTATGATAATGAGTAAACTGGATCTCGCTTGTAAACATGAGTGCATTTCGAACGGTAAAAGGGAGTCGGGAACTACATGTAGCTTGATCTGGTTTCCGCCAACCTCGTCCCCAGTGCTTACTTTATTTCCACTGTTGTTTCCAGTAGTAAACCCTGGATAGGAAACTTCCTTCCTGCATCCTGATTCGATACCTCAATTGGCTACAAATGGATTTATATCGTGTACTTGGTGTTGTTATTCACAACGTGCAGTACGTGTTTTCGCGATCATTTGTCCACGCCTTCTCGAAAATATTCATTTCCTTTCCAGTTTGTTAATATTAATATGAAATGTGATACTGCATGTTGTCTCGTTAAGATCGTAACAGTTAAATTAAAATGAAATCATGTTTTCGTAACTCACGCCATGCTCGCGCTGCGACGAATTGATTCTGTTTTTACCCCAGACACCGCATACAAAAACAAACAGAAATGTAACGCACAGGCAGGTACCAGACTACTCCTAATTTGCATACGTGTTCAAAAATCTTGCACATGCAAATGATCCAATACCAGGGTGAGAGAGCAGGTAGTGGTGGGCGCGTAATGCTCGACACCCTGGGGACGAGGTTGGGTTTCCGCCCATAAAAGCTGCCCTACATGTAGTTCCCAACTCCCTATTATCGTTCGAAATGTACTTGTGTTTACAAACAAGATCCAGTCTACTCATTATAATAATCGATGCATCGTGCTCGGTAACGGAATCGCACTCGGGATACGGGGACAATTGAATGTATGCTGGGCATGAAGACCACATCGCGTCGTTCAAACATTAACATGAGTCGGAAATTTAACGTGTTCACGATCGCGAGGGGAGCTCTCGGAATTGAACGGGAAGTTTCACTTTTCATCCAGATCGTAAGTAAACTTCAGTACAACCATCTTAATCATCAATGTCTACTTGTACCTCAGGTGGCATATCTAGTTGTAGGCCATTTTGAGTGTGAAATCTGATGTTTTTGTTGGGCAATGTTGGGTTTTGGGTCAAGGACAAAATTGTGTTGCTCGGCATATATACAGATTAGCTTGGACCCTACTATCGTCAGACCATGTCCGAATGTTAAAAAGGCGATAAGTTGGGTCCAAGTTACTCGGACTAGCCCTGTCACACTGTCACGTTCTGGCATGGAGTTCGTACCGCACCAAGAAAATTTACTAAAACGTGGTGGGAACGCTGATTACGGCATGGGGACTCTTTGATACTAGTTGAGGACTTCAGAGGGACTCCAAGGACTTTGCTGAACGCCAAACTGCCACGTTCGTTTTGGACGTGCACAAAACAAATTTGGCATTTTGACAAGAACGCGGTAAGGACTCTGCGCGAGCTCCTCTCAAATGGCCGTGACGTACTGGCAACGCGCAGGCAGATGGGAGCGACGTCGTGAGAACTCCATGGATGTGCATGCATCAGGACTGTGCGTCTCCTCTACATGTACATCTCCTGCGTCTATGCTGTTCAAATGTGTAGACTCAATGACTTTCGCCCGTTTTGGCTTGAGTATTTACGCCGCACTCCTGACTGCTGACGTCACAAGTACATTTTAAGTCCGCATCAAGCATGCGATAAGGACTCCAAGAACGTCGTACGAACCTATTGGACACCATGAGGATGCAGTGAGGATGCAGAGGACGCCGCGCAGACTTCTAATTGGTCTTCAATGGAACTCATAGAGAACACTATAGAACGCCACACGGACGTCTTAGACTTTCGGTGGACTTCACAGAGACGCATTGCAAGCCACTGGCACCATGAATCCTGAATCTTCATGGAGTTTTGTTACATTTTTAAGAATTTCAACAACGCAATGTGAATGGCTTGCATGGACGTTACAGTGTGACAATTCGACAAGGCCTTTATAAAACATGCTGAAGTTTAAACTCTAGTCTATGGCCCGCACTGAGTAGACTCTACATGCTGGGCCATACGCACATTGATTCCCAAAAGTGAGGATTTGAAAATAAAAAAAACAAAAATTTAATTCAATCATTCCAACTCAAACTCGGAAGGTGGGTTCATTTACCCGTACATGTACCTCTCAATATTCCCCCAAAATTAGGACTTCCCGTGCTTCCTTCTGGTGAAATTGGTCTCTTAAAAAAAATTAATTTGTCAACCGAAGTGCAGCTAGCCGAGTATAAGTAGTCTGGTTCCACTCCGACCAAAATATTTCCCTTTCTTTAATGAACACACGTGCAGGGGAACACGCCTGATTATTGCCGTATCATATCTAAAAAAAAACATCGCATGCGGGATCAGAACAGCCAGCTGATCACAGTGTGCGCTATGCTCGTACCTCCCGCCCTGCAAACAGGACGTTGGGATACTCTGATGAATTCACGCTCTGATTAGTTGGATTTTGCGTGACCTGTGACCTGCGCGTCATCATGGTCATGACTCTGCAAGGTTTGAAACGGCTGTTTAGACTGATTCATTCAGCATCCTGTTTGCAGGGGGGGAGGGGTAGGAGCGAAAGTGTGCGCATCTTAATTATAATATGCTAAATTGAGGTGCACGGCACTGTGATTGGCTGGCTGTTCTGATCACGTATGCGATGTTTTTTCGGATATGATATACCACATGTGGTACCCTTCACGTGTGTATGTTAAAGACAGGGAAATATTTTGGTCAGAGAACCAGACTACTTAAACTCGGCAAGCTGCTTGTCATGAATTTCCACTTCGGTTGACAAATCAATTTTTTTAAGAGACAAATTTCTCCAGAAGGAAGCACAGGGAAGTCCTAATTTGGGGGGAATATTGAGAGGTACATGTACGGGTAAGTGAACCCACCTTCTGAATTTGAGTTGGAATGATTGAAAAAAAAAAAAATAAAAAAATATTTTCAAATCCTCACTTTTGGGAATCAATGTTCGTATGGCCCAGCATATAGAGTCTACTCAGTGCGGGCCATGGGGCCAGAGTAACTCCGGCTCTAAAGCATTGCTGGAGTTACTCAAGCTACTGAAAGTTAATGTATTTCACAAATTGTGAACTAGTGAATGCGATGGTACCAGACTATTTATTCACTACAGCCTCACTTTCTTTCTTTTAAATGTGGCTTAAAACATTAGAGTATGTTTAAGCATAAAGTGTAAATGATTCATTAGACTCAGAGGCAGAGCAGACTGGGGAAAGAATGTTGCAACCTGACGCTACTTCAGCGGTTGTGTACAAAGTCTATGGAGAGTAAAGAAAATTTTGGAAAAAAAAGTAGGCCTACATTGTGTAGGCCTATTTCCTAACAAAGTTGGAAATGTTTCTCTACTATTACTAGTACTATTCCTTCCTCCATGGTCCTCCCAGATTCGGAAAAACTGTTGCAACCTGATGCCACTTCCATGATTGTTTACATACTACATCATTTACATGTAGTAATGAGACTCAGAGTCAAGTAAATTTTCTAAATATTTCTTAACATTTAATTGGAAATGTTTCTCAGTCCCAGACGACATGTCTTATAATCATTTTTGCAATGAATGATCTTCATTGAGGTGATATACATATATTGTATGGAAAAAAGTGGCGTCAGGTTAGGCCAAATAAAAAAAAAAATGTTTAGCGTCCTGCCTTTTTGAAAAAAAAAGGAGCAGGAGGCCTCCCCCCCCCCTACAAAATGGCCAATTTGGAGGGGGGGGGGGAGGCGGGTTATTTTTCAAGATGGCAGCCAGTGTTTTTTATAACTATTGCCATTGGACTCAAAAAATGACATACCATTTACAGCGTGATATGGGCTAGATGCAACAGACAAAGAGGGCAAAATGATGTCACTGTTTAAAATTTATCATTGTTTTTTGTTTTATGTTTTTTAAATGGAGGCGGCCTCCAAAAAGCAAGTGGGCGGGGACGCTAAACATGTTTTGTTTTTATATTTGGCCTCATAGCCTACAACATTTTTTGCAAAGATTTTACCGAACTCTCAATCTAACATGGCTGACTCGTGAATGAGGCCGATGGCCCTGGCTAAACTATGGGGTTTGTGATCACCCAATTACTCTTCAGTGACACTGTTCTCCTACTGTTGTTGGTCTTTCTAATACACCTGCGTTATCAATTAATTATACATGTAGGCCTGCACATGATCAACCATGCAAAGTGGCTGATAGCGCCAACACATGATCAAGTACACCTCATTTCACTGATGGACAGCCAATTAAAAACAGAACTGATATCAGCGTAATGTCTATTGCATGTATTTTAATTTGGGATACTTCACACAATACGATCAGGTCTTATTCCTAAAGAAATAAATTCTAAAGGATATTCATTCCAACAAACAACTTGGTGCCGAAATCAGCATCCTGGGAAAGCAGTTCGTAAAATAATAACATGATCTGCGCGTATGTTCATAGCCTATTGCCTGTGTAGTCACTTAATTCACTTTAATACGGGCTAGTACAGTGTATACAGTGTGAGACATGCACTAGTGATCTTCGCATGTTGGCAACATTTTACCAACATACATGTACTCTGGTGCTACGGTGGCATAAAATGTCCAAAATTTCTATTACGTGTATATGAGCTTTCCCAAAATTATACCCCGCAAATATATTTTGTTATCGATATGCCGATTGAAATTGTTACCCTCAGCCGAGAGGCTGGAGAGGTATTGTCTTCGCCTATGGCCATGATGGCGAATGTCCAGGCAGCTAAATTTCAAGATGATAACTTGAGTTAGAAATGTTGTTTGGGATTGTTACTTCAGAAGGGGGTTGCCCTTGCGAACAGGCATGTCAGGGTTGGTTTGGGGATCAAAAGGTCCAAGGTCAAGGTCACTTTGGTGAGTTTGGTGAATTGGTTTCCTGATGGTAAATTGAGTTAGAAATGAGGTTTGGATTTCTTAATTCAGTAGGGGCTTGCCCTTGGGAACAGGCAAGTCAGGGTTGGTTTGGGGGGCCAAAGGTCATGGTTGCCGTGGTGAGTTAAAGGTAAATGGTTTCTGGATTTGACTCCATCTGAGGGGTTTCAACAACAACGCTGTTATTTTTAAGTTTAAAGTGTTTTATAAATTGGTCCTGTAAGCACCCATAAGACCAGCAGCACAAGCCATAAAAATACCTCATCGTCCACTTTGCACCTCATTTTTTTGTTTTCTTCTAAAAAAAACACAGATTAAGCATAAAAATTTTGCGGTCATTACTTTCCTAATTCTGGTGAAAATGTCACCCAACAATGTCTATTGTGAAAGCACATCAGATGACAAAATTCCACCGAAATTCTCCTGCTGGTAATTTTCATTCGTGTCTCGAGTTTTAGCGGAATGACAGAACTCTTGCGGTTCGTTCAATTTTCACCAGATTTGCCACAAATATAGTTTACAAATTATAGAGTTTTTAACCTAGATTTACTTTACCTGCATGAAATATTGATGAAATCCACAAGCACTATTTTCAGATGATGTATTTCGAAGCTCTGATGGCGCACAACAAAAAATTTGAAACGCTGTGTGTGGAGTGGAAAATGTCGCTGTATCATCAGTAAACAATAGGTCAGTTTTGCTCTTCATCGACGTATAAACACTGTACACTCAGTGTGTTACCTCCTGAGTAAAAGTTGGAAAAAATCACCCGGATGGGACTCGAACCCACGACGGACTGCTTTCTTGGGACGTAACCAGTGTTGTAGGTCTCGAGACCGGTCTCGAGACCACTTTTTGCTGGTCTCGGTCTCGGTCTCGGAAGCTGTGGTCTCGGTCTTGGTCTCGGTCTCGGTCTCGGTCCCCTTTGGTCTCGATATTTTGGCTGGTCTCGGGTCGAGACCGGCAATATGTAGCTTTTACAGCTCGATCGATTACTTTGTGTTCACTTCGTTCAGTACCGTTGTTATTGAAAACATTTGCTAGCCCGTAGATCAAGCTTGTTATATATCGCGGTCGGTTTGGACTCGACTGCACGTTGGCAAGTCCCCAAAGTACATGTAAAACTGCAGCAGTACCAGTCACACAACGATTTGGAACAAGTTCGGCATTTATCTGTTGAGTCGGCCACATAAAGCAAAGTATAAACTTGTAACAATTTATGCAATAAGGGTCAACCATTTTCGGGGATTGTGTAGTTTAGCCCACCCCTGTGGGCGTAATCACTTGCATTTTGTATTCTGATAATAAATGAGGTGCATGGGCGTCGCGAGGGGGGGGCAAGGGGGGGCACTTGCCCCCTCCCCCCCCCCCCCCCCCCCCAGAAAAGAAAAGAAAAAAAAAAAAAGGAAAAAAAAAGGGAAAAAAAAAAGAGGCGCGAAGACAAAGTGGTGTAAATGTAATGAGTTGGGGGGGGGGGGGGGAAATGTCCCTGCCCCCCTCTAAAACTGATAAATCGAGAATGTGTTGAGAAATACAAGCATTTTTTGGCAAAAGAAATTTGTTGCCCCCCTCTAGAAAAAATCCTGGCGACGCCCATGATGAGGTGCTTCAAATTAGTTATATTTTCGACCCCACACAATGTTCTCTTTAATTTGGGACAGTATTTTGAAAAAAAAGTAAATTTTTCTACCTGATTTTCCAGCTTTGCACCCACACACTCTGACTAGTTACCACTCACTGTTGCCATGAGAGTGTATGATGAGACCCCATTTTCTGGCTGCTCATTTTGAAGTACCCCATTATTCCTCAAAAATTAAAAATCCCGTTCAGAAAAAATTAAAAATCCATATCTGGCACATTCTGGCTACCACCTCGCTACTTGTGGGTCTACATGTACAAGTCCACATTCTATGACAAAAATTTAAAAATTAATTCAACATTTTCTAGCTCCCATTTTTTAAAATCAAGTACACAAGTCTTGTTAGAAGTTAAGTCCTAAATTTATTTTAGGAAAAAAAAGGCAATGTAAAATTTAAATTGCATCTTTAAATATCCATTAGAAGTCATAGCTGAAACCAAGGGGTGACTGTGGAGTTTAGGATCCGAGTTCCTATAACAGATGAAACATCTACCTTTAACTTTTTACTTTTGTCACGATTGGGTGTAGACAACATGTCAAAGCCCATATTTCTTAAGTGTAACTACTTTTTGCTAAAGTAAGGTGTCATGTATCAATTTGTCAACATTGCCACTGGTCAAAATTTTGGTCTGTATTCTTTGTGAATAGAAAGGTTACATTTTTCAACTATAATAACGTGTCTTGTTTTTTTTATTTCGACTATTGTTATTTATTATCAGCGGTCTCGGTCTCGGTCTCGGACCATATTGGTCTCGGTCTCGGTCCGCCTTGAAGGGGCTGGTCTCAGTCTCGGTCTCGGTCTCGAATCTTCAGGTCTAGGTCTTGGTCTCGGTCTCGGACTATCCGGTCTCGACTACAACACTGGACGTAACACACTAAGTAATAGTATACAGTGTTTATACGTCGGTGAAGGGGAAAACCTAATATTGATTTAAATCACCCCGATGGAAATTTATCTTAACAATAAGTCTAGTTTCGCACCTTCTGCTTCTGCTTCTGTTTCTGCTTCTGCTTCACACCTCCCCAATATATTTAAGCAATGCACGATAGTCTAAACCACTTGGCTGCCCGACTGATGCAGAGGGTACATCTCCACTAATTACATGCTCATGGGAACAACGCAAAATCGGTAGCACTTGGAAGGTATTAGGTAACACATCATTTTGCTTACACTGTGAAGATGTGTCTGTAGTTTGGATTACTCTCCATATTTGACTACTTCACCAAGAGTCAGATCATCAACATTTCCACTGTCTACAGCAATCTACCGAGGCATCGTTGACATGAACAAGAAAAAGGATGGGTCCTAATTTTGTACCTTGCGGTGCACCACATGAAGCACTCTATTTATGGCTTGATGGATTTTTCAGTCAATACATACACTGCACAATGTTATGCAATGAAGTCCAGGTGGGTCATAGATGAGGACTCACTGTGGAACAGACACACTTGACACAAGCACTCCACCTCACAACCACACCTCCATGGGCCATTGTATCAATTGTGCATGATTTTATCGTCACATGTTTATTTAAATGGCCATTTGAAGTGAATAAATGAATTTCAAACCGATGGTGCATCTCACTTTCAAACCAATTTATACCATTATAACCATGTTTAAAGTTGCTCAGATACCCCATCAATATTCATGTTTCTGGAATTTTATTTTTTTTGTAGCCAAAGGACTGGAAGAAGTGGAGAGATGAAAGTAAGTGATATCAGTGCAAGCTTTTTTAATCTTCAGTTACAGAATTGTATATTGTTCAAACTGTAAACTAAGTAATGCCAAATTGCTTTTAAGGACTTTTGCTTAGTTTTAGGTGTTTTTTTTTCTCGTGATGGTTTGGTCCTATGGTTTGGTCCATTGCAAGGAAATGAAGGTACATGTAATTCTTCTTTTCCTGCAAATGACAGTATACTACATGTACATGTAGGTGCCATGATTTCATACATGTAGGATGCTTATTCTTATTATTTATTACTTAATACAACGAAGTAGGATATATTTACTGTACCTCATACATATTCACGATTGAGACCCGAGTTCTCACGTGTCCATTCACCATCATGTGTCAGCCGCTAGTTCTGCTGTTTACCAAGTGCCCATGCCAGGATTCATGCACAGGGTAAATATGCATTCATAGTAGACTAGGCATGGGCTGCAAAGCAGTCGTGGAACTAGCGCATGGGCAAGTGTGTACATGTACGTGCTGCGAACATCGCCCCAGCTCCACGAAAAGATGAGGCACGCATACACGGCTACATTTTGCCAAGACAACTGATGCCTAACTTGATGAAATTTGTATCAATATGTACGTATGTGTGAGGTATTGTTAAACAAATATAACATGGTGTATTTTGGGTGGACATGGTGGAAGCTGGTATTAGCTCCCCTCGTTATTGGAAGTTGCCCCCCCCCCCCCAAACTTTTGTCTAGCCCCACAAATAAATGCAATAGATGTTTGTGCAAAAACACATGGCTGTTTCGGAATTTTGTTGACATAAATTCAGGTCATATTATACCGTAGACTGAGAGTTTACACATCCCAGTGTTATTGCATACCAAGTTAGCACCCAATCAAACCTGTACTTCTGTTGATAAGCGTTAAAAAATTGCTTGATGACGTCATGATGACGTCACTTCGGCTTTTGAATACCAGTATCAATACCTACCTACCCACTAAGTTTCATAACGATCGGACATTTTTATTTAGTTCCCTTTTATTCCTTGGGGAAATAATAGCCATCTATCGCTCTTCAACATTCAAACACAATGTAACTATGGGTCGTTTGATGCTCGGGAATTAAAAGTGGCCCATATATAATAAATATAATAGCGTTAAATTCATGTACAACCAGTACATTTTTTGTTAATCTGTTGACTTTTGATCAACAACAATGTTTGGTACGTTTGGTACATAAAAATCGGGAGCCAAGGATGATGTTCGGTATAGCCGAATGTTGGGTATAACGGTGTTCAGTATAGCGGCGTTCCACTGTATCTGTTTTAGGTAATGCTAATATTTCTGACCATGTTGGCCCAGCAAATAGAAATTCCCCAAATCAGTTTCTTGGATCCCCCTTTTGTTGCACTCGGGAGAATTGTGCGTCAATATAGAAGTAAATCATTATTTTGTTTTAGTTGAACCATATTCATGAAGACCTGAACTTTTACTTTAATAGATACAATGCAGTCATAAAACATTGTATTAAGCATTTTGATTGCAATTAAAGACAAGTTGTTTTTCTTAATGAGCGATTCGTGATGATGTGTCATGTGACTATAATTAGTTCTATATTAGTGGTCATTTTATAAAACAGGGCCTTGGCCTTGAGGGTTAAGCCTTGGCCTTAGCCTTAAGGCTTGAGGGTCAAAGCCTTGGCCTTGGCCTTAAGGGTCAAAGCCTTGGCCTTGAGGGTTAAAGCCTTTGCTCCAACACTGAAAAATACAGTGGAACGCCGCAATAACGAACATCGCGGGATCCACAGAAAATGTTTGTAATAGTGATCATTCGGTATAGCGATTTTAAGCTGCCGGTGCTCCGGTACTCACTTTTCAATAAATTCCGCCCTTCATAACTTAACCCTGCACGCCCTGGTAGTTACTGAAAGACAACTTCGAACACGTGCCGACTATTGAATAATGTAATTACACAGTTTTGAGCTTACTTCCTACATCGATGGGTGGCTTTCCCCTTCTACATGTAGGCCTATGCCTTGGGGAAATAATAGCCACTTTCGCTCTTCTATTGACGGTTTTCAACACCAATGTTCGGTTGGTTTTGTACCCGAAAATTGGGAGCCAGGAACGATGTTCAGTATAGCCGAATGTTCGGTATAGCGGTGTTCGGTATAGCGACGTTCCACTGTATGTTGCACCAAACATAATAATGACTGGAAAGCCAATTTCTTTTTTGCTCAATCCATTCAAAGAATATCACCGTTTAAAAGTAACAAATATTCAACAAAGTCCTTCTGATTTGGCCCGTCTTTTATATACAGTTGATATTATAAATCATATTGTTTGCCTAACCAGGGTTGTTATTTTCTGTTAATAAAGATATTGTGTACTACCGGTAGTCCGTGGGACGAGAGGCCGAAAATGCTTTAGTTTTCAAGATAGGCGATCTGGTCCGCCAAATTTTATAAAACTTTCTAGACATGTAGATTATGATGTACCATATCGAAAAAACTTTGTTCCCTGATCCACAGTTTGTTTGGGAATGAGAAAATCTGGGATAAAAACTCCAAAAATTCTGCATGAGAAAAAAATATAAGAAACAGCGCCCTCTATTGACACAGTCAGAAACCTTTTCGCACGCAATGAGTTGCTCGTACCCCCCGCCCTGCAAACAGGACAAAACGCAATGAGTGCTTGCCAGATGATACTTCTTTCTTTAAGATTGAATGTTATGTATTAACTACATTAAAATAAAGTTAAATCATACCCCAGATAAGAATCTCATGGTAACATCTTTTAGTTTGTCTTAAAGAAAAATTGCCATTATTGAAGTTTTTTTAAACAGACTTCTGCCCTTTCAATAGCAGTGAAGTTAACACTTCTGGTCTAGCAAAAGCTAAAAATGCTGTTAGCTTTCAGCAAATGCTTTCCAGTAAAAGCATTTGCTTCATTTTTATTCATACAAATGCAAGTAAATGCTTAAAAATAAAAGCAAATGCTAGTGTTTATACATACGACCCAAATGCATCAGCTCCTATTAAGAGGCAAAATTTTAAGTTGCAAATAGGCTAGATTGATTGCTCGTGGTCCAATTAGTAAAAATACCAAAATTCGTTTGGATAGGACAAGGTAAAATTGGAAAGGGGTCATTAATGTTGGGAGAAATTGTGCACAAGTCTATGGAAATGTCTCCCTGATGACCCATTATCGGTAATTATTATTGGCTTTTCCGCAAAAATGCGGAAAAGCCTTTCTTTTTGTTCTGATTTTTGGCTTTTCCGCAAAGTTGCGGAAAAGCCTTTGTTTTTGTTCTCATTTTTTTTTTTTTTTTTTTTTTTTTTTTGGCTTCTTCTTTTTGTCGCCTAAATCCCATAGACTTTGTGCACGTTTTTTCTCAACGCCACTTTTGGCATTAATCTTTGTCATACATCATTCAAAGTTAGCATAAGCATAGTCCCTATAGCACAGATGTGTCCCGAAGATTGACATCATGGTGACGTCATCGACTAATTTATTATAGATTTTTGAATATTTAATTTTTCCCATAGACTTTGTACACAGAAATTTTAAAAAAAATTGTCGATTTGCAAAGGGCATTTTTGACTCTTTGCCAGTAATTCATACACACCAATCTTTGTCTAAGCAAAGACCCTAATTTAAACAACATTGTGTAATTATGACGTCATGATGACGTCATCAGGTGTGTATTTATAGGCAATTAAATTGTGACACTTTTAATAATCAAAAATGCATAAGAAATCAACTGTACGCGTCCGCAGCATTTTGTTGCCGGCAAGTGGTAGAATAGGTTGAGGTCTTTATTTCATTCAGTGTGCGTGAAATCACGTGACCCTTGCTTCCAGTCGAAAAAGGCCAAAACCGGAAGTGGCTTATCATTTGAAAGTGGTAATAGATATAAACTTGCTTTTAACGGTGTTAGTCTCTTGGCTGATAGTATTCTTCAAATCATCTACTGATGACGTCATGTAATCTTCGAGCGCCCTCTAGCGACAGGTTGAAAATGTTCAAAATTGTATTTTTAATAAATGTCTGTGGCGAAGTTTGTCAGAATCGCCTAAATATTGGTGTATATGATGATCTTGACCCACTTAAGACGTGTGCGAAGTTTTAGGCATATGACGTTATCAGACCGGAAGTTCCGTTGAAAAGACCTTTTCTTTTTTAAAAATTGCTAACAAATCAATCAATACAGATATAATCTTGAATTGCCCATTAAATGATAGCGTAAATATTTGCCTCAACAGTGCCAAGTTCCCAGCTTGTCAAATTGTTCACACAGTTGACGCGACGTCGGCAAAAAACACCCTTACGCAAGTTGCGGTAGAGAGTTGTAAAACATGCACAGGACTTCCACAATGTGTATAGCACATGCACGTACGTTGTACATACGCACATACATCGTATGTCAGTCAGCCCGCAGCGCACGTGTTGCTGAGGTCAAATCATGTCCACAGTGACCGTTTTAGCCGATTTTTGGCTAACTTTGACAGATTTTATGTTCATGCATAGTCAGGGATGGGTATTATTGATAAAAAAAAAATCATAATGCGGAAAAGCCCTGTGTTCTGTTGCAAACAGACATAGATCTCTAGTTTTTCTTTCTTCTTCTTATTCTTCTTCTTCTTTTTTCCCCAAAACCCCATAGACTTTGTACACGTTTATTCTACACGCCACTTTTGCCCTTAAACTTTGTTGCATATCGTTCAAAGTTTGCATAGACATAGTCCATACAGCATAGATGTGTGCGGACGAGCAACGTCATGATGACGTCATCATGGGTCACGTGACGTCATCATTAATATGCATATTACAAAGTCCTATATCTACAGAACTGTCAGTCCGATTGAGTTGAAACTTGGTATGTAGGTGGATCGGGATGTGTTATAGACGAAAATTGAGGTGACGTCATCATGACGTCATCGTGTGATTTTATATAGATTTTTGAAGTTTTGGACCTTTAAGCCATATCTCACTAACGCAATATGATAAATTCAAAATTCTTTTTGTATTAGGTTCGCTGGGCATTAGATGAATGCACAAAATTTGGAAAAATGTGTGACGTCATAATGACGTCAGCAAAAATGCGATTTTTCGAAAAACATATAAGGGAATGTCCGATCGTCTTGAAACTTGGTGGGTGGGTAGATAATAACACTAGTACACAAAATCTTGAATGACGTCACGATGACGTCATCGGTCGATTTTTAAAGATTTTTTTAATATTGCCAATTTTATTCTGCTTACAAAATTCAACACTTTTATTAATTTGATTTTTGCAAACTTGGTACAGACTCAAACCACAATAAAATAATGAGCACTGCCAAGTATTGTTACGATGACGTCATCATTAGACATGTGACGTCATTGTTAACTTGTATATTTTAAGCCCCTATATCTCATGAACAGTACATCCGATTGGGTTGAAACTTGGTATGGGGTAGGCCGGGATGTGTTACAAATAAATATTGAGGTGACGTCATCATGACGTCATCGTGTGATTTTATATAGATTTTTGAAGTTTTGAACCTTTAAGCCATATATCACGAACCCAATATGTTACATTTAAAATTCTTTTTGTATTAGGTTTGTTAGGCAATAGGTATATGTGCAAAATTTTGAAAAATGTGTGACGTCATGATGACGTCATCAAACATGCGCTTTTTTGAAACACATATAAGATAATGTCCGATCGTCACGAAACTTGGTGGGTGGGTAGATAATAACACTAGTACACAATATCTTAAATGACGTCAAGATGACGTCATCAGTAGATTTGTTTACGATTTTTTAATATTGCCAATTTATTCTGCTTACAAAATTTAACACTTTCATTAATCCGATTGTTTTCAAACTTTGTACAGACTAAAACCGCAATAAAATAATGAGCACTGCCGAATATTGTTACAATGACGTATTCATTAGACATGTGACGTCATCGTTTGTATATTTTAAGCCCCTATATCTCATCAACAGTATATTTTATATATGACAAATGCAATATGCCAAAATCAAATTTCCATTTGAATGAGGTTTGTTAGACAAAACGTAAATGCACACAGTTTTGCACAAAACAGAAAAAACATGACCTAAAAAAAAAACATAATGCGGAAAAGCCCTATGTTCTGTTGCAAACAGACATAGACCTCTAGTTATTATTATTATTATATTTCTGGTAATGAAACGCAAGCCTGAAGAAACATGTAGGGAGGAGACAGTTAAAAGAAATTAGAGGTGGGAGGAAAACCCCAGAAGTAGTTCCGGGGGAAAACCCACGAATTCAGGTAGGGACTGAAAACCCAATCCACATATCAGCCCAGGCGGGATTCAAACCCAAGTACTCCTATGCCAACCTGATTCCCCATGTACATATATGTGTATGGTGCAGAGCGTTGGGTGTCACAACACTTTTAAAACACTCAGCAGTACTTAAATCGCAGCTTAAAACTACCAGTCGGTTCTTTAAAATCATTTCCAGATAAAGCAAAGAAGAAGAAATATAAAGATGCCAAGCTGGAATGTATCAAATCGCAGAATGGTGTCTAACAAATGTATAACTAATGTACGAATGTTGGCTGCACACTACCTACGGCTATATATATGCATGTGTGGCGTGTTTTGTCTAAAGTACCAATGTTTATATTGCTTTCATTGGCCCAAAATGTGTCCACATTTTATGAATCTTAACAGCGAAGAAAATAAACATAAGTAATCTATTTGTTGATAAAGTATTGGGAGAAAACTGGGGGGTGGGAGGCAAGGAAAAGACTTGGGAGGGGGCAACTTTTCAATTTCAACTGTGCCAGGAGAGCATACTGGAGGGAATGATCCACAAGATAGCATCAGTGTATTAAAATAGATGGGGAAGGTACCTCAGCACCTACTTGGCTTGACTGGTCACCTGCACCAAACCCGGGCCATAGATGGGAAAGGCAGCTCAGCACCTACTTGGCTTGACTGGCCACCTGCACCAAACCTGGGCCATAGATGGGAAAGGCAGCTCAGCACCTACTTGGCTTGACAGACCACCTGCACCAAACCTGGGCCATAGATGGGAAAGGCAGCTCAGCAGCTACTTGGCTTGACTGGCCACCTGCACCAAACCTGGGCCATAGATGGGAAAGGCAGCTCAGCACCTACTTGGCTTGACTGACCACCTGCACCAAACCTGGGCCATAGACGGGAAAGGCAGCTCAGCACCTACTTGGCTTGACAGACCACCTGCACCGAACCTGGGCCATAGACGGGAAAGGCAGCTCAGCAGCTACTTGGCTTGACAGACCACCTGCACCGAACCTGGGCCATAGACGGGAAAGGCAGCTCAGCACCTACTTGGCTTGACAGACCACCTGCACCCAACCTGGGCCATAGATGGGAAAGGCAGCTCAGCACCTACTTGGCTTGACTGACCACCTGCACCAAACCTGGGCCATAGACGGGAAAGGCAGCTCAGCAGCTACTTGGCTTGACTGACCACCTGCACCCAACCTGGGCCATAGACGGGAAAGGCAGCTCAGCACCTACTTGGCTTGACAGACCACCTGCACCCAACCTGGGCCATAGACGGGAAAGGCAGCTCAGCACCTACTTGGCTTGACAGACCACCTGCACCCAACCTGGGCCATAGACGGGAAAGGCAGCTCAGCACCTACTTGGCTTGACAGACCACCTGCACCCAACCTGGGCCATAGACGGGAAAGGCAGCTCAGCACCTACTTGGCTTGACAGACCACCTGCACCCAACCTGGGCCATAGACGGGAAAGGCAGCTCAGCACCTACTTGGCTTGACAGACCACCTGCACCCAACCTGGGCCATAGACGGGAAAGGCAGCTCAGCACCTACTTGGCTTGACAGACCACCTGCACCCAACCTGGGCCATAGACGGGAAAGGCAGCTCAGCACCTACTTGGCTTGACAGACCACCTGCACCCAACCTGGGCCATAGACGGGAAAGGCAGCTCAGCACCTACTTGGCTTGACAGACCACCTGCACCCAACCTGGGCCATAGACGGGAAAGGCAGCTCAGCACCTACTTGGCTTGACAGACCACCTGCACCCAACCTGGGCCATAGACGGGAAAGGCAGCTCAGCACCTACTTGGCTTGACAGACCACCTGCACCCAACCTGGGCCATAGACGGGAAAGGCAGCTCAGCACCTACTTGGCTTGACAGACCACCTGCACCCAACCTGGGCCATAGACGGGAAAGGCAGCTCAGCAGCTACTTGGCTTGACAGACCACCTGCACCGAACCTGGGCCATAGATGGGAAAGGCAGCTCAGCACCTACTTGGCTTGACTGACCACCTGCACCGAACCTGGGCCATAGATGGGAAAGGCAGCTCAGCACCTACTTGGCTTGATGGACCACCTGCACCGAACCTGGGCCATAGACGGGGAAGGCAGCTCAGCACCTACTTGGCTTGACGGACCACCTGCACCAAACCTGGGACATACATGGGGAAGGCACCTCAACACCAACTTGGCTTGACTGGCCAATTTGCACCAAACCCGGACCATAGATGAGGAAGGCAGCTCAGCACCTACTTGGCTTGACTGGCCACCTGAAAAACCTGGGCCATAGATGGGGAAGGCACCTCAGCACTGAATTGCCTTGACGAACCACCTGCACCAACTTAGACTTGGTGCCAAGTCGGTAATTGTTTTGCATACGGTAACCGGTGACTGGCCGGCTCCACGCACACAAAATATCACTGCAATGCGCGTAGTATGGTTCCCAGACCAAATGATGCTGACTATTTCTGATAAAATTACCGACTTGACGAATACGTTTTCAATTTTGTACACAACATATGGGAGTATTTTGAATCGCTAGCGAATTCTTTGCGAGCACTCTGATTGGTTCAGATTCCAGAACGTATTCTAGGCCGCAACGGAAGATCATTCTCATTACTTCGAGAGTTTGTACTTTGTGTTGTGTAATATTACAAAATTCATTATAGGGCATTCACGACTAAAATAAATCAAGTATATCACCATGATACATTTTATTTCTATGCACAATTGACCAAGCTGACATGGCTGAGTGTATTGGTCATTAAAACGTCGCCAGATCTGCAAACATGTCCCTGACGTACTGAGAAGAACTCCCTTGGATCTCACCAAAAATGCACTGCATATTGGGCTGCTTGCATAATATGAATAACCGTGCGAGAGTATAATCGTCAAGTCGTTAGATTTTTCACAACTTGGCCGATTGTGTACTAGTCTTATACCAGCCACGCCGATGGAGTTCGACTGAAGTTCACGGACAAAATACGACTATCTAACGACTTGTCATCAAGTTGTTAGATGGAGAAGTGTTGGATAAAGAGTGTTGGATAAAGAACACCACCAAATACAAAGTCTAAGACTTAAATAATTAGTTTTTAAAACATTTTTAAACACTTGTGGGTCATTCTATAAATTTGGGGTCCACTTTTTACCTGTCCCTAGTACATCTGACGTTTATGATTTTATAATTCTAATGCGCTCCTTAATGCAGTGGTCCTCCAAGAGTGATTATGAATAGCAAACTACATTGTACCTACCCAACAAATGAAACATTATTTGTAGTCACTCTTAAAGCCAGAGTCCATCATTTGCAGCTATCATAAAAGTAACTGGCATTATTATTGTTGAAAAACATACTTGGTTGAAAGATAGTAAGGGGACTAAACTCCCTGTGAAATTATTCTTTCTGGCAAGCTGTCATTTTGAAGAAATCAACAAAAGAAGGCCTTTCCAACGGTGCTTCTTAAGAAGCACCGTAGGAAATTCAAATTAGTAGCTTGTTCTGTTATTCGGCGAAGCGCGCACAAGCATTGACTCGACACACACGCATGCGCGGTTGCTATAATTCGTTGGATTGGTGCGCGACATCGTGTAGCTGCATTCGGCTCTGTGAAAACGTGTCTCGGACGCTGAATTGAGGCCCAATTCAAAACATGATTCAGCAACTTTTGATTTGAAATCGAGATCCTAGAATGTTGTTTTTCTTGAAATATACAGCTAAAGCTGAGCTGAAACTTCATCAGGTTAGTTGTTCAGCACCCTTCTTTAGATCTTGAGCACTTTTGTTGCTTCAAACGAACAAAATGCACAAATTACAAATGATGGACTATACCTTTAATGATACTTGAATGGCAAATGACATAAAGTACCAAGGTAACATGGAGAGGAAAAATCACACTTTGAACCTTAAATTTATAGAATGACATATAGCAGTGAGTAGGTTTACAGTGCCATTGCCTTATGATGGTTGCTGGATGCTAGACAGGGTTGAAAGATCCATTCTACATTACTTCATCAGGCCCAAAAATTAAAATTGACTTGGTACTTCTTCCAATCTACAAATTCATCCAAACACTCCTTGTCAATTTCAAGGGATTGGGAGCGGAATGGTAAATGCAAGTTTATTGGTGGTTAAAAGCAATTACACTGTTTTAAATTTTTTTCACGGAATTTTACATTTTTACATGTAGGCCGTGCTTGGACAGTGAGTGTTGCTCTTCCAGGATCAATCTTAGAAAATGCACAATCACCAGAGCTGAGAACGTACCTTGCAGGCCAGGTACTGTAATAGTAATCAAGTAACTGCAATTTGTGTTGTGATAGGGTGAACATTGTAAACTCTATAGAAATCTTGATCCTTAGTTTCCTTTAAAAGTACCGTACAGTGAAAACCGCTTACCAAACATTTGACTGTGATGAACATCCCCTTTGGCTTCCTTTTTTTAATGCAGTTATGCGGAGCATTGGCCGCCAATAATTGCTACAATGAATAACCACAATAGCAACAAACTTTTGTGGACCAGATTTCTGAACATGATGATAAACAGCCAACTAGTGAAGTAACCAGATTTTCACAGATTACTCAACAAAAGGATGTTTATAAAAGCCATAATAATAATAAATTATATAGGTATGATGTGCTTGTATCTAGAAATCATATTCACTGACATGTGTTTTGAAAGAATCAAAATCAGGTTGTGTTACACAGATTGCTAGAGAATCTGGAAATAGTGACTTCTTGTGAAGTCATTGCAAATAAAATATAAACAATCTGTGTTTGTGACACCAAGTTTGTAGATGCTTAAAATCTTAACAAACCTTCAAAACACCATTCATAATTTACCTAAATGCATTGCATAAAATTTGCTCCTTGAATTCATCATATATGTATCTGTTGAACACCTTTCTTGATTCAAGTGACCGGGATGTTTGTTTACCCCTTTCCCTACAGATTGCCAGAGCCATGGTTGTGTTCTGTGTAGATGAAATCGTTATCTTTGATGAGTCAGGGATGCCCTCAGAGTAAGTGGATTCAGTACATTATTCCAAATCCTCCCAGGTTCTTTCAAATCCAACTGGAAATGTCTGAGGATATTGTAGGATTGATAAAGGTAGAGCACAACCCTCTTTCTATGTCAAAGAAGTTCAAGCAGGCATGCAACTTTTCCTCGGATTCACTGATTTCCACACTTTTTACTTCTCGTAAATGCCATTACAAATTGAAAATCACTGTACAAAGTCTTGTGTTGTTTGGAATTTCCTCCTCCTTTCTAAATTCCCAGTTTCATGCCTGTTCAAAGAAGACGAATGTGCCATTGGGTTCATGCAAAAAAGTGGTGGTTTTGGGAGTATTTGGGAGGACTCCAAGGAAGAATAATATCTGTATATTATATCTGGAAGTTAGATTAACCCTAATTACCAATTGAAATACTGGTTTTCCAGGATTTGAATGGATTCTGGAATGAACAGCTCAGCCACTGTTACATTACCGTTTGGTAGGAAGTCTTTTACCAAGTCTAACAAGTACTTGACTAATAATCTTGAGAAAATAGACTGTGGGTTTTGAATTTCTGGGTGTACTTGGAAATCCCAAATATTTGTAAAAAGATTTAGGCTCTAACGTTAACCAAGCCTGTATCTTTTTGCCCCCCCCCCCCCCTAAAAAAATGCACATCTCTCATAAAAAGTTTTCAAGGATTGCATACCATCTAACATTTAAGTCTGTTTCAATATTCTTAGGGACAAAACTTCCAAGAATAACGGGATTCCAAGAACTAGTTCGATGAATTTTATGCCATAGGTTTAAAGCTACAGGTAACCCTTACTCTAGAAAAGAAAACACTGATGAAACCGAGAATTCTCTTGCGATATTCTGAGAATTGTCTTTTTCATACTTATTCAATTGCTGCTTTGCAGGAACACAGATGGAAACTTTGATGGCATTGGCAAGAAAGGAAACCCCAATGTGCAGCTGGCAAGAATCTTGCAGTTCCTAGAGTGTCCACAGTATGTCCCTCTCGCTTTCAATTTTTTTTTGTTACCATTTGTCTTGGATACTGTAATTTCATTAGTGCTGCAAGTCAACCCCCAAGCTCAGTTCGAGTTTGATTTAGGCTTCGGTTTGGACCTGTTTGGAATGTAAAAGCGACCCTTTTCGTTCTCAGCAAGTATAATAAATCACTTCAAAGGACCCTTTGCAGGAACCATTCATATGCCAGAATAAACTGTGCCACATCCCGCAGTGTGTGCCACGCGCACACCAATCTCCATAAAAGGAGATGTTCACGACTACTTGCAAGAGGCACATACCATAACATAGAGAGAAGGGACATGATGAGTGTTTCAAGAAACATGATGTGAAATTGTTAAACAAAGTCATTGGAAATTTATACATTTTGACTTGTTTTGAAGTTTTGACTCAATAGGTATTTATGAATGGGAATAAATACCTGCTTGGCCAGTATTAAACAAGAACGTTTAAAACTGGCCTGGACGCCCCTGAGATGGTTAAAACGTACTTGTTAAAAACCGGCCAAGCACAAATTTATTCCCTTAATAAAAACAATTTTTAAAAAAAGATGGGGAGTTGCTGATTTGAGGTTGAGGAGGAATGAAGTCAAGTGGTATCGAAATGAGGTGTTTGTGGCACAAATCGTCTGGACTGAAATGTAACAGAGTAATTAGTACAGTCAAATGTTGCTATTATGAACATGATGAGGTACACCAAAATGTTTGCAATAGCGGTTGTTATTTATAGCAGTTTTTGGCCGCTGCAGGCATGACACTTAAATTCGGCTACATCATGGTGTCCGTACCTATGTAAATTGATCTACTTCACCATCCATTCAATGTGAAATAATGCCAGCATGTCTCTTATCGAGATTTCTATATATTTCCCAAGCTGATGTACCCGATCCTGATTGGCTAGGGCGTATTTGTGTTGGTGATGAGTAATGTCAACTGGGTAAATTGGTAGAAATTACAGTAACCCCTATAGAAAAACAAGTACAAGGGACACAAAATAAGAAAATATAAGCCCCAATAGGCTAACAGAAACTGGTAAATTATCCTGTAACAGTCAAATTGAAAGTTTTGTTTGAAAGTGTCTTCTCTGGGGAAATTGGTTTTGGAAGAGTATACCTGCATTACAAATGAAATCCCAAGAAATGCCATGAAGTCCCAGAAATGAAAGTTCTTAAGGAGGTTTGTTAAAAAGTTAAAGCAGCCTTGCACCCCCCCCCCCCCCCAACAAAAAGAGAAGAAGACGAAGAAAACTAAATGGACCCAACACAGGGAATAATTATGGACCATGAGGGTCTCCGTAGATACCGGTAGTCGCAAGTAATTATAGGAAGTGCCATCTGCGGGGGGAAAAAATGTAGTTGAAAGATTAAATGTAGTTTGCTAGAGAACCAGCCCAAAAACTACAAAACGGGAGGTATAAAACAGGCGCAGGCCAATTGTATATAGTTTGGGCCAATAATTTCCAGAAACTGTTCAGCTACATTGCACTGTTCTAATTTGTTTTTGATAGAAGGTAGGTTTTGTTGTGTATTTTTTAGTGTAAGAGTAGGGTTTAATATGAAGACAATGACAAAAAAGTCGCGGCACAAAATAAGATGGGGATATTGCTGAAACGAATGGATTTCTGCCTTGTCAGTGCCGTTGCACCAGATCATCGTTGACCCGGCATAGGGTCGACGGTAGTCTTACTCGCAGTTGTACGTTTAGCCAGCTTGGGGGGGGGGGGTGGTAAGGGGGTATTTACCCCCCAAATATTGTAAAGACTGCCCTTTTTTTTATTCAAGTACCCTCTTTTCACCAGCATTTAAACAAGTGGCCTTTTTTCCCCCTTTTTTCCCCTTTTTTCCCCTTTTTTTGTTTGAATTTTGCACAACAGCCGTCGGTAATGTTGCCGTCCTGAAAAGTGCCACCTATTGTCCGATTGTGTCCATGATCGTCCGATTTGAACAGTGCCCCCATCGGAAGATGGTACCAGTCCCCCCCCCCCCCCCCCCCCAAAACACACACACACACACACACTTCTTCTTTTTTACGGAGGCCAAGTGTGCCGAGGAAAACCCCCGTCCACAGTTTAGCATGGATGTGTGAGTGCCCTTTTCACAAACTTTTTAACCCCCCCCCCCCCAATAAAAATGACCTTGCTACTCCTCTGTATTTATATAGATTTATCTGACTGAAAATGAAGGAGCATTCAGTTCATGTAACGAAAATGACCAATACAGTCAGTACCGCACATTTTCAAGTTGACCGTTTGTGTGCGGACAGCCCTTACCATGTGCACACACTAGCGGCAGCCATTCAAAAAATTGAGGTGCTCTATCCTCACAATTACATGTACAAGCATTAAAAACTATTATATAAATACTGGAAAATGGAAAACTTCATGCTCAAAAAGACCAATCCTGAAAGTACAAATCTAAGACCAGACATGAAACAGTCGCTGCTTTGATGATGTCAAGCACCCTTGAGTGTTTAAAACGCCATGTTCCACAACCCAACATCACCACTATACTATGAAGAAGAAAAGGTGTTATGTGTGTTCAGGAGTTGCTCGACCGTGAAGCAGGCGACAGGCAGAAAAGCTGCCCGTCTACCACAAAGCGGACAACGGGCGTTTCCCATTTACGTACTGCTCCCAGTCAACATTAATTTTACAACTACATATACAATAACAAACCACGTTTTACCATTGAGCTATCTGTCCATGTGATATCCGTTATACATTTGTTGTTTGTTGTGGCGCAGTCTGTAGCATTTTGCCATTTGCCCCCAAGGGCGAACAAAACCCATGGACTACATGGCAGACAAGAGTTGTTTTGTTATACCATGGTTTCATTCTTTAAAGAGGTTTTTGAGTTTTTGAGAGGTAACACTATCATTAAAATGTCATTTTCTCAAAGACTGTTCTGACACTGTCGTGCATTTGATTTAAAGACTCCAGTTCTTCAGTCTTTGATAAAACACACATCTATACTGACATGAACACAGGTCCACGTTGACATGCGCATGTCACAGCTAACATCACCCTCCTAGTGCCAAGGGCTCTATTCTTGCTGTCTTGTACAAAGCAGCAGGGACACAAATGTTCAAAAGTCATTGATAAGGATGAAAGGTTTATGAAATGTTATCGGGACACATGGGGTGATGTAACATGCATCCGCGGAGCCCCTCAGGTCATCGTACATGACCTTTTGCAATACTTCACGTGAAAGTCCCAACAATTGAAATTTCACAATCCAATACCATGGTATAACAATAACACTTCTGGGTTATTGCACCCAATAGGTTACATAGAGACAAGGCAAGTTAATGTCCAAAGCATTATGACATGTATGAAAGGAAGACATTTAGTAAACCTGGATTAACAATTTATATTGTCTTTGCTATATGTTTCTCCCAAAGGTATTTGAGGAAGAACTTCTTTCCGATGCATAATGACTTAAAGTTTGCAGGTTTGTTATCAAAATGCTTGTGTTTTGTTTGCACTACAAATGAGTACCACTTGCTCAAAGCATGATTGGGCCTGGAGTTTTGATCCTGGCGGGAATTTTCTTAAAGGCCTAAAAGTATGCACAACTGTAATTAATCAATAGTTCAGGCCTCGCACATAACAGTTGCTTTTCACAAAATATGGGTTTTTTTCCAAATAAAATTTTAATTTGAACATGTATGTTTTGTTTTATACGATGTCATGCACTGAACCGACAAATACTAGCAAGTGCGCACGCATCATTCATTATACCTTTAATTACTATTGATTACAATTTCAGGAGTTTTAAGGCATTGCCTGTATGTACAATTCAATATCTGAAGTCAACTCTCCAGTCTAATAGTCAACCTTATTAACCATTGACAAACTCACAACTCTTCAGATTCCTTTCTGCACTGCCTGCAGGACTGCTCAACCCTCTAGACTGCCCCCATCATTTACGCATCGATGAAGCTTGTCCATACAGAGAAGGTGTGGTCCTAGACCGGGCTGTGGGCCAAGGAAAGGGCTCAATCGTTAATGTGGGTCTTCTGAAGGTAAGGCCACATAGCTGTCACATGTCCTGTGACACTTTCATCAGAATGGATGCTTACGTCCGGAATGTGCCCTTTTTGGTGCTAGTTGCATTTCTCACTGAATGATAATATATTATCACACAAACAAATTTCCGAGTACACAATGTGGCCCTCAGAATTCAGCTATTTTAAGCTAGTAGTAATTTTAGTCGGACTTGTTTCTTTCAGAAATTTGCTTCAAATGCATGTTGCTCACCTCTTTATATCACATAGCGAATAGTCACTCATGTGATATGCTTTATATGTGTCGCTAATCTTGACAGTGTGACTGAAAATTCAGTGGCTATATTCAGTGCTGGCTATATTCAGGCAAGACAAAAAGATTGCCGCCATGCCAGGTGTGAATATTTTACATGAAGTGGATTTTCTTTGCAGGCATTGCCAAAAGGTTTTCAGTTGCACACTGTAATTAAGACTTGACGTTTGGTCCTTTTTTTTTTAGTGTGCTCGTTTTAGGATAATTGATTTATGAATCACAGCAGGCTTAACAAGGTTTAGTGTGTGTGATACTACAAACAAAGGATGGCTGTTTAATTGCAGTACATTGTTGGAGGCAAATGGTTGTTTGCACATTGTATTTTGCTATAATAGTAATCACTAGTCATTCACTAGTGAACTCATTCGGATGATTGCTATGGGTCAATTATGCTCTGTCTCAAGAGATCTGCACTGATCTGACAATTTATCAATCTCTTGTGTTCTTGATGTAGGAGGTACGGATAGACAGACAGCTACAGCCAGGATTGAGGGTTACTGTCGAGATGGCAGATACCGACCATATCAACTCAGGTATGAACAAAATCCTAGGACTGTGTTACTTTTCCACCTAAGTGTCTTGTGTTATTCAAAGATTGAATCCTAAAATCACAGAAAATGTTATGGTTTAGATTGTTTACTTATCCTATTTCAAAAGAATGGTTTGAAGGAAACTAATCTGTTCCTTAGGAAAGGAAAGGAGAAAAAAAACAATTGTTCACTTTCGATGCAGCAGTCATTTTTTGGCATACAAATACGCATTTTCAGCTGTAAATAAACCTCCTTGGACATGGTGTTTGCCCCCAACTTCTGTGTCCTTGATGTCAGACAATTCAATGTACGGTACACTATATTACTACACCTCATACATATTCATGATCAAATTGGAGCGCGTCATTGACCGATTCCGCCGCGCGTCCAGGAAGTAAAAATGGTACGCGCCCGGGTGGCGTCTTCCCGGTGAGTATCCAGCTTGCTGCCGTGTGGTAGTTTTTTTTCTAGTAGCATTAAAAATTCCCTCTGGAACCCGCCTTGTAGACATATGTAGTCTGTGGCACGAAATCTTTATGGAACCAGTCTGTTGATGTAGTCCTTGTAACTACTGCAGTAGAGACACATTAAAGAGTGTTGGCACCAGACTATTTCATTAACTGACGAAGAACTTGAATATCTTGTACTGAAAAGATGCAAAATCTATGAAGGCCGTTATCGACAAGGCAGTGAGGCCACTAAAAAGGCAGTGAGGCTACTAAATATTTATGAGGTGTAGTATACAAATATTGAATGCTTCGAGTGGTGTAGTAAAACTAGGCTCCCGAGGTGATCCATGGACATTCTATTTTCCCGAGGCGAAGCCGAGGGAAAATAGAATGGTCCATGGATCACCGAGGGAGGCTAGTTTTACTTCACCACGAGATAAAGCATTCAATATTTGTTTTATAACACTTCACCCACAGATTCTGCTTGATTTTAATATTTTACATGATTTAAATCTGAACACAGTTGAAATAAACTTCAATTTCAGTACAAAATTGGTGGAAAATGTATTTCTCTCTTAAAAACTAACCCTTCACGAAATGTTTGAACCCAAGTCTGCGGCGCGCTCTCTTTGGAATAATACGCGCAACTCGCACACCAGCATGCATTTGCACACAAATACCGCACCGTGGAAATAGTACTTTGGTTGCTAATGGTATAGTACTTTGGTTGCTATGCGCATAGTACTTTTGGCCGTGCACAGAAAGATAGCAAAATTAGAAAGTAACATGTGACTCGCTCTCAGCCAATCAAGACACAGAATCTGTGGGTGAGGTGTTATAATATACAAATACACCATGGTATATTTCTGGAAAGTAGTTAGAATTACTGGTCCCTCGGTGTAGGTCAGCTTGACTACCTACCTCCGCTTCGCATCGGGAGGTAGTCAAGCTTACCAACGTACACCTTGGGACCAGTAATTCCTACTACTTCCCTTCATACCATGCTGTATTTGTATACTGCTTGAAACTAGCATACTTGTATACATTTCAAATACTACTTGAAACTAGTACAAACACACAAGTGGTGACTGTCTCTTGCACTCTCCCACGCTGCATGCGATGCTCTGATACTATACATGCCCATGTATGCAATTGGCATGCATCAGGCTGTGCGGCCTGAGCAGTGGAAGCATACGCTACAGCAGAACAAAATTCTCATTGCTCACAAGTAAACTCTAAGGCTGAAAAAGGTGCGGTAATTTGATTAATCTAAAACAATAGTGGGTGGTTTTGCATGGTACATTATCCCATGTATTTACTAAACAGATAAAAACACATGTTTTATTAATTGTTTTCAAAGGAACATATGTGACTGGAATCACAATTAGCGCCCAAACAGCTTGCTATTTGAGGGTCAAAATTTTGACCCCTGAAATTAGTTCTCGCAAGGATAACACAAATACAGCCAATTCGTCAAGTATGGTTGTGTGGACTTTTATATTCCACTTTTAAATCTTCTTTCCAATCGAAATTTTTCTGTGTTAACCATGTTTTGCAGCTCAATCTGGCAGTTTCAAGGATGCAGTGTCCTTTAATAATGGTATTTTAGCATTCAAAATACCGGAACTGCTAATATCACAACTCACCGGAGTTGGACAAGTTCTACATGTATTTTGTAGATCTGGCTGGCGGCACTGCCTGAGTCTCTCCATTAAATTAGCAAGTGTTCACTGGAGAAAGTTCAGTTGTTACTTTTGCAAGAACATGAGTTGAAGTCCAGGTTTTTAACCACATTAATGATGAAAACTACAACGTTTGTGGAGAGCATGACTGGTTATACCTGCAAAAACACATGTACACCAAATACAGTACTAGTCTGAGAATCAGACACTCACGTGGGCAGAGCCACGGTTGAACGTCTGATAGATTGTAGCATGTACATTTTTTGCAACCCCGCGCGCCAGCCAATCTGAGTGGTCTTTAGAAACTGTGATGTCATTTCAATCAGAAATGTGGACCAAGCTGTGGGTTGGTCACCTTGGATGCCATTTTTTGGTCAAGACACTGTCACTGACACTGAGGTCAAGACACTGTCTTGTTTTGCACACTTAATCGCCGAATCTGCTCGCATATCATAGACCTTGCTGTGCAAGGGGTGATACAGGGTGGCAGTGACACAATTCTGTTTTATGTGACGCGTTGACGTTAACGAAAGGTCACACAGTTAAAGGGGCAATCGCTTCCATATCAAATTACTTTTTGTTGCGTTTTACTGTAATTTTCCTAGTTCTGGATTGCTCACAATGTTTAATTAAGGCTGCTTTTCTGCTCAACTTGGCCACGACTTAAATTGAGATGTAATTACCTTGAGTGAGGGAAACACTACACAAGTATTTTCCAAATTGAAGCTCTTTTCATTTTGAAAAAGTTATGTCAAAACTTTGAGTACAATGTCCCTTTTTCGATTTATTTAAATCAAAAAAGGACCAACCAATTACAACGCTGAAATGAACTCTTTAATATTGAAGAAAATACATGTATTTGTCCAATATTTACTGTTATTCAGACAACATTCTCACACCAGGTTTCATCATCCCCTGAACAGTTTGGAAGAGAAATTTGGTTTGTTTTGATATTGAGGCTTCTGTCTGTATTTTGAATTCACCTAACTTTGACCCTCCGGTAGTCCTGAAAGTAAAGGTCAAGCGATTTCACATACAGGACAACAAAAAAATGTTTATCATTTTATGATCTATCTGATAACAAAGTATGAACTGATTGATCATTTTGTTCAAGAGTTATAAGTGAATTAATTTGGTGGGATGCCACTGAGCAAGGCCACTTGTGAATCATTGTACCACCAAGGGGCATCAGACAACACCTAACCTGTTGTTCCTCGATTACTTCTTATGTTGGAAATGACAGTTGATTGCGTAAATAACCATGCAACACTTGTTTTATTTCTGCTTATTATTAGCTGTGGGGAAGCAGCTCTACAAGTACAATGTACTCATGTCTCTCCCTTGGTTGGTTAGTAACAAACTTCACCAAATGCCTTTTTTGGTAATCAGTCACCTTGTCCCTTAGGCCCTTGCAAAAAAATGTGCTTCATGTCTCCACTACTGACCAGCTACTTGTACCAATTTATTGCAGTTGTGAAAAATTGAGTCACATGGTTACTCATTAAGCATTGGGGCTAGGCTGCACACAAATTGGGTGTTCCACATGCTATAAAGCGCTCAATGCACCAACTGATGTTCAACAAAATAATGGGAATCCTTTTCAGTTGACGGTCATTGTGCTTCATAAGAACAGACATCGTGTACATGACTTATAGGCTGCAGCAGGTCTACAGTTGGGCCGCAGCTTCCGAGATCATTTCGAGCTTGTTAAAGTGCCATTGTCCTATCAATTTGTGCATGCTCTCCACTGGTCATTGATGCCATGACTGATGAGGCCAGGACCAGTATTGAAGTTGAAGTCATTTTTTTACCAAAAATCAATTGTAATTTTGTGTCCGATGAGGTCAGCATAAGTTCATAGTATTATGCACACATGGGATCATTGTTGAAGCTCATGCTATAAACCGTTTAGAAGTAAGGTGATATTTGAGAGGGGGGATCCAAAGAACAATTCTAACAATTACAAATAGGTGTTGGGGCTTTGCCGTCAGAAGAACAGTACAAGAAACCATTCCTTCTAACAAGCAAAACAACTGTATTTCAGTCCAGTGTGTTGGACAAAATGAAGTGTACATGTAAGGTGTTCTAGTATGAACAAAATTTGGAAAGTTTGGTGTGAGTGGTCTGGGCTTTAAGTTATGATTAGGATTATGTAGACTAAGACAAGAGTCAGACTCAAGTCCGTGTCCAAGGCCAAATAGGAAAAAAATTAAGTTCTTGCATGTCAGCTGTGCATCCAGACACTCATATTCCTACTTATTCTTGGTGGGTAAGCTCGATTCCTACTATTATAACATTAAACACCACGTTATTTTGACTTGAAACAGGATTGTTTATAACTCGGCTTTGCAAACACATTTTAGTGACTTTCCATTTCCAAATTCAGAATGAAATTGATGCCAGTTTGAATTGGTCTTGAATTTGCAGAAAGAAAAACATTACGAGGTACCGTGGTCTCACCTGCGGCACCCTGCACAGAGGCTGGCCTGTACTGGGGATACTCTGTTAGGCTTGCATCAGGCCTTGGGGCTGTATTCTCTCAGAGTCCCTACAAAGATGGGTATGATGTCACACTGGGAACGTCAGAGAGGGGCACAGATGTAGACCAGTTACAGCTTTCTGCTTTCAGGTATAGACTTTTGCTACTGACATAGTTGTCAGAACAATCAAAATGGAAAATTTGTTTAGTAGGAGGCGGCATCTCACCAGGCATCCCCAATGGTGGCACTTCACCCCACACTGACTGGAGAAACTGAGAATTCCTTCCACCCAAAATACATGCTTCACCACTTTAGAAACCCTGGTTCCTTTTTTAGCCTCCCTGGCAGAAAAGTTTCCCCTACCTAGCATTGTCAAAAGCCACTTTCCAGTTTGTTAGTAAAAACATAATACACGCGCGCACCACTGATTACTAGCGCCCATTGGATAAACACTCCAGTTGCGTTAGCTTCCGCTTCCAATGGGTCCAATCCGAGACCCGGGTAAAAACGCCCGCCAAACTTCCTCCCAAAAAGGGGGAAAAATGTCCCCTTATCAATATAATGACCATGGTATTATATTTGTACACGATACAGGAGACATGTATTGCATGAAGCCACGTATTTATTTCCTAGTGTCTCAAAGTAGTACCAAGCTATTTAACAAAAACTTAAAAATCAGGCGTTTTTACCCCAGTTTAGCCTATGGGGTCGTTCAGACACTGTTTTAAATTCCTTTAAAACACCGGTTGAACTCGATTCAGTGTAACTTTCTTGCTAAAACGATGTCTGAACGCTTTTTTATTTAGACCGAATCAGGTTGAACTTGAAGATAAAACGGCAACTTAAACTTCCTCGGAGGGAGGGTTTAGCAAATAACCAGAACGAGTTTATCTCCTAGTATGATGTCTGAATGGTTTTAGCTAAAACGCTCCCCGTTTTAGCCAGCGCAGCGACCCGGAGTTACGTAACGCCTTCTCCGTGGCGTGCTTTTCTATTATGCAAACAATGTCCTAATTCTCCTACCGTTAAAAAAAATCCAATTTCAAGTCCAATTTCCGCAAGTTTTCTGACCACGTGGTCCGAGTTTCACATCGTGCTCACTCGCACTCGACTCACGATGTGATGACAAACTGTAGATGCCAACACAACAACCTCTAACCGGAGCATAATTATCATAATACACTAATATATTCAACTACCAGGAAAACCTTGGCGTTGATTGGTCAATATTGCAACGTTAATATCACGTGTATTTTCACGTGACTGACATGTTGCGCGGGCAAGTTGATGCAGTAAACCTTGAGTGAAATCTGTTCAATTAATGACGTCTTGTTTTGATCACTGGTTTTCAAACAACTTTTCAGAACATTTTTTATGTCTTTTTGCACCACGAAAGGTACAGAAAATAACCCCCAAAATGTAAACACAAATGGTGTACTATGTAAGGTCGATGTACGATACTTCCAAAAAATGGGGAAATCGCCGTGGTGGACAAGTGACTGTCGTCATGTTTACCGCGTGCCATGCTACATGACCGGCCGATGCTGCGATGTCAAATACGGCATGGCAACACACATCACACGGTGAGGGGCTCAGAGTCAGACCACGTGTAGCTAACTGTAAAAATGGAAGAGTGAAGGCTCTTTTTAGCGCGCGGTATTTGCCGAGGCGGATGTTCTATGTGACCTTAGAAACTGAGATAAACTGCTTCGAGTTGAACTTGCTACACTTAAAACGATGTCTGGACGCTCGGAAGTTTTATTTTTACGACGGGCCTCCCGTGGTGAGCGACCGTTTTAACTTTTACCGTTTTAGCTAACACGGTGTCTGAACATGGCCTGTGTCGTGCATTTGAGTAAATTAAACACTGTCAACATGGTCAAGGTTATTTGACAAAGATCTGAAAGACATCGATAATAACAAGATAGATGTTTGCAAGAACACCATGATAATTCATCTCTTCTTTGTAGAAATCTTTGTTTTGAAAGAAATTGTCAGAGTGAAAAACATGACTGCAAGGCCATTGTTGACATGAATGGATAACAGGAGAGTGCATAATTTGGCAAATTTTTTCCTTGTAGGCATTTATTGATAGTCTTTGGTGGTCTCAAAGGCCTCGAGTACAGTCTGGATGCAGATGAACGACTTAAGATCACAGACCCTAAGCTTTTGTTTGACCACTACATCAACACCTGCCCCACCCAGGGGAGCAGAACAATCAGAACAGAGGTAAGTACAGAGAGTCATATGTATTTGCTCAGTGAGTACTCTGTGCCCCATGGGCTAAATATACTACCAGTTTGGTTAGTTTGGCCAACATTGTGCAGTATCACACATTTCACCATGTATCGTATATGGCAGCACAAACAAAATGGTTGTGCTCAGTCAAGTTATTTATTCTTCGTGTATTTTAGTTCAGTGTAAGTAGAAATATTTGACATGCTGCATGTGATGCTTTTCCGTTTTATCTGAGTAGTTTTATGTGTTAATTTACCCTCTTTCAGTTAGAACTAAGTTTCAGAACCGTGTTTTCTCCTATTAAATGCAGTTAGTACTACCTAGGTCGCATGCACAGCAGAGATCAATTGGGTCTTCGTCCACTCTCAGTATCAAACCATATCTTGATATTGTTAATGTGATTCATTTTTTCCCCTGATATTTTCCAGGAGGCCATTCTCATCTCGCTATCCTCTCTAAGGTCAAAGGTCAACCAAGTGGCATCCCATACCAATCAAACTTGAGAAATGTATTGTCCCTGACCCACAAACTGATACTCCCTGCATTGTAATGCATTAATATCAGTGTGCAGGGTGTCATTAATAGTGTCAGGTGATATTTAGTTAACTGCAATATTGTCTACAATATCCACATGAACTTAACTTTAGGGAGCATGACCATAGGGACCGTTTTGGGTTTGTAATGTATGGCTTTGAAAGTGTTTTTGGAAACATTTTACTGATTCTGCACCAGCCTTCCCTCTCAATAGCAAGTGTTTATATAGAACGTCTCAATTTAATGCCTCCTTCAATGGACCATAATCATGTTGAGGCCATCTTGATTTTTCCCATTCAAATTAATGCAACCAAAGCGAGGCTGGAAGGAAAAATAGTTCGGTTCTTTTTTTACACAAAAAAACATTATTATTCATTACTGTTATTGGATACAGGAAACATGACTAAAATGGTGGCAGCATGATAAAGGTCTATTGTTTTACAATGTGAAATCGTTGCCTTCTTTTCACAAATACTGTATCTTCCTATAGTTAGATGGGCAAATTCAATCTGTATGTAATGCTTACAGCAGCTACTGGTAAGAGTAAAAAAAAACACCTGAGTTAAACTTTTAAAAAGTTAATAACCATAGTCTTCAGAAAAAAAACAGGGATAACTTTTAACACCAAAAAGATGAGCTAAATCTTTAGCAAAAGCAAAATGAAGTTGTTAATTGTTTGTTCAATAAAAAAATGTTCACTGTCAGTGGGTAATAAGTAATAAATGCAATCCATTCACATACTCTGGGTTTAATAATTTATTTATTGTGTTATTTATTGGAGTTCGTGGCATTTTTTGGTCATACCTCACCTTCTGTGCTACACAACATCTTCCCGTCCCTGTCAGAATTTTCACCTTGTTGTTTTCAAATCTTTACAGCTACTCAATTACTGAAAATTCAAGAAAATCTATTTAGATGATATGATCTTTTGAGTCTTGACCAGAAAGAGCAAAGGTCTTGGTTTCAGTTGTGAGATTCACTAGGAAAAAAATACAAAAGGTTGACCTCTCAGCATCATGATGCAGGGAGCAACAGGTAGTGAGAGAAGCAAGGATCTTTGGCTTTTTTATCCCTTCCATGGAGGATGCTGAACACTTCCTGAGACTATTCATTTCAGATCAGAGCTCTTTCTCCCTGCTGGTGATATGGGGAGAGCCGCATCAAATTGATTCAACTGCTGTTTGATGTATAAAGAAATGGGCAATTCTTTGGTAACGGAATTACGGAATTTTGTCACTTTGTCAAGGATTATTCTTTCCCAAGAAAATATGTTCTATGCTAGGCAACTAATCTACACATGGAAAGGGAGCCAAGACCCAATAGAATTGATTGACCGCTAAAAAAATTAATTCCCTCAAGATTACCCTTAAAGGGGCGGAGCTTAATATTGGTAACGGAATTACGGACGGAGGACAAGCATATTTGAGTTCTCGCATAAATTAATAAAACTCTCTGAAGTTTTGAAATTTTAAAATTGGACACTACCTGACATTTGTAGAGTTCAGGGTTGTTGTTAACTACAATGCAGAACAAAGTTGAAAAAATAATCACACTTTTCATAATTTGCATTTTAATCACGGTAACGGAATTACGCCTGGGCGGTAACGGAATTACGCCATAGGTTTACATGGAAGAGGTAAATACAATACATTAACATTGAATTCAACATAAACTCATCAAAATACACATTTTAGAAGTTTATAGAATGGCACAAGGGAAAAGCTAAGTGTAAATTAGCAGATCAAAATGTAAAAGTTGGCCTAAACATGTCTGGGCTTCCTTTTATAGGTCAAAGGTCAAGGCCAATGGCTGCATTGCTAGTAAGCAATGTATAATTTTTTTTTACCAAAAAATCAAATTTTATTGTGAACAATTGTGTCATTTCACTAGTTTATCGTGCGAAATACAATAAAAATGTCCTGGTTGGCATCTCTGAGCAAGGGAAGAGGTAAAGTTATAAATGTCAAGTAGAAGTACAAGTACAGTCTGGTACTCAACTTTCATCATGTTCATATACTTGTCGTGGAATATATTTTTGTGGGTACCAGACAATAGCTTTGGCAACATATTTTAAAGGGAATGTGCATCATTGGCTTTTGCTGTAATTTTCAGAAATGAACTATTTGAGGGGTTAGTATACATGTAATAGATCATATTTGAAGTTTTGTGTTCGAAAATGCTGGACAAACCAAGAAAAACAAAACTGTTCAAGTAGTCTGGTTCCTTAACTCTACTAAAGATAACATGGATCAATTTATGGATTCCGGAAAATTGTAGAGTAAGGGAACCAGTCTAGCTGGCCTGCACCCATTCATGAACATGTAACCAATAGCAAAAAAAATTTGGACTGGAAAAAGGTGTTACATAAGTTGGAGCAGAAGTTGAAAAATTGTTAGGTTTTTTCAATGGTGGTCAGCCGACCACCATTGGAAATGTATACATTTTCTAGAAAATGACTTCACACCAGGTGCCATAATTTTACAGCCTGATGCTTTAGAGTTTAGACGGTCTTTTACCAACATCCTAGTAAGGTGTTTTGTGAAAACTTGGTAGTTTTATTTTCAATGTTTGTAAATTTTGTATGTTCCCTTTAAACATCCAAACAACTATTAGCATTTTTTAAATAGTAAAAAAGAAAAAGTAAAAGTAAAAAATATTAATGGAACACCTGATTAATTTTAATTGTATAATATCAATTTAAAGGGGGAAATGATTTAACTAAGTACATGTAATTTAGTATTTAAAAATTATTGTCAAAGGTACATATATGCAAATCTCCTATTCAATACTGTACATGTATGTCATTTGTACATAATCTGGAGAAAATGTGCATACTTTGTGCATGCGTAATTCCGTTACCGTAATTCCGTTACCGTTTCGTAATTCCGTTACCACTTGGAAAAATGCCAAGAAATTACTATTTTAAAGTTTTTATTTTTCATTTATGTTTATAATAGGGTCTTTTCTCAACATACATGATTTGAAGAAAAAAAACAAGAAAATTTGTGAAATAAGTAACTTTTGCCATTTTTTCGGTAACGGAATTACGTGCTAATTTTGACGTTTTTAAATGAAGGCCTACACTATAACCTATATATATATTTATATATATAGATTTCTTTTAATGACCCTGAGTAATGTTAGTAACTTGTAACATTAGAAAATAAATCAAACATTTTCCCTGTAATTCAGAAAGTAATATATACACAAATTTTTACTTTTTTTACCAAATCTGAACGTTTTGATCATCAATTGCAAAAATCACTGTTTTTACCAGAAATATTTTTTTTTTTCAATTTCGTTTTTTGAACTGAATTCCCCATTTAATTTAGGTCTGGAAAAAGTACAAAAAAGGTTTAATATGTAAATATATATTTTTGACATTTTTTGCTCTCCCATGGAGAATTGCCCATATGTGTAATGTATTTTCATAATATTTGTTGGTGAAATTATTACTGCGCATAACAGTTACAGAGGTTGTCGATCCAAAGTTAAATCATAAAGTAAATAGGTCATGTCAATCACAGGTCACAGGTAACAGGTAACGGGAATGAACCGTGACAAAGGATTCATTAGTCACAGTTGATTTGAAATAACTTGAGAGGCTGCATGAAGTTTTGGTGTCTTTTGATTGACTTGTAATGACTTAGGATTGACTTGTGATGATTTGTAATGACTTGATTTAGTGTTAAAAAAAATAGTTGTACTCACCTCAAGGGTGGGGATTTGGTCACTCTAAAACTGAGAATTCACACTTGTAGGTTAGGTCAATTAACTTTTAAGGGTGTCAGTTGATACATGCGTAAAGCCCGGTTCACACTCTATGCGAAAGCGAATGCGAAGCGAATTTGACCTCATGAAACATTCGCTGCAAAATTCACCCGAGTTGAAATATGTTCAACTTTTACGAATTCGCAGCGTGAATACTTGCCATGACGTCACAAACTCGTGTTCGCTTTCGCTTTCGTGCCGAGTATGAACCGGGCTTTAGCCTGCTAGCCCGTGCTATTTTCCCCCACCCTTCTGGGTAGAAACCAAGCCCCTTCCTTTGTTACCCCATCCCTTCTTTTAACTTGGCCAATGATAATCGATTGTTGTCAACACATTTTGACCTCTGGGTGACCCAATGTAACATGATTCATGCTTTGTTGTATGGTAGCTGTCCCGCCAGCCCCACTGTACAGTACAAAAGCTCTCTTCCTTGTGTCAGATGGACAAGGTTATGGGAAGGAGAGAGACTAAATTTATGCACCGGCCGTGTACTCCTAGAACTATGATGCTCCGCGTGAGCGGAGCCTCATAGACACAGAACCCCGCAAAATTGTTTGCAGCACAAAATACTAATTAAGTACAAACATTTCGCTAGTACCATTACCGTACCCCCCGCGGCGCGCTTCCAGCGAACCGAAAATCATCGATCGATCATAATGCGTGCACATTTCAATTGTCAGGTTGGCTCAGTGCGGAAAGGGCACATTTTTCATCATTTTGGCAAAAAAAACGACAGAATCCAGCGATGTTTGTTCTGCACACATTACGCGAGTATGTCATGAGGTATAGTACCGAGTTTAGGGGCAAACTGTGAGGCGGTTCTGTGGGAAATGTCTGTGTTTCGATGGACGTTTTTGTACTTAATTAGTGTTTTGTGCTGCAAACAATTTTGCGGTTTCTGTGTCTATGAGGGTCCGCTCACGCGGAGCATCATAGTTCTAGGAGGAGTACCGGCCGTGTACAGTGTAAGGTGTAACACGAATATTCATGCTCTCTCTTGACTCTAAATCAGTTTGCTCCATCCAAATCAGGTAGCAATTTCCAAAATACAAGCCAAGAAAAAGTTATTTAAGACTCATTGATTGGAGTCAACGACGGTCACCAATCTTTTGAGTCAAAAGATAGGTGACCGTTTGACCCAGTCTGGTTCCCAGACCTGACAATTATTCCCGACGCTCACGTCTAAATTGTACGTCAGGCAGCCTCCTTGGCTAAAAATAAACATGACGACATTGACGGCCCTTTTTAAAAACTCGCGCGGCTTTGTTTCTGTCATGTGTGCTGTTTGTGGCCATAAAGTATTTTTGAGTGTTAGTTTTTAATTTGTGAGAATATAATGGATTTAATTACATAATACTTAAATGTGTAATGTTAAAGTAAGCCTGTAATTAATTAAGTTATTAGGCACATCTCAGTTGACTGAAAAATAAATACAGCTCGTTTGTCACGTATGTTTGTGCCTTCCGCTTAGTTTGTCTCATTGTGCCCAGGTATCCCACTCGATGCCATCAGCCTTTGTCCCTTAATAAGGCTTAAATGCGGCATGACATAATCAGTCTTTTCTTACTCTAATTTTTGTTTCAATAGGTCTATTGATGCTCCGTATTCAAATGATGTAGTAGTCTTTTCGCAAGCAGTGATTTTCGTTGATTAAGATAGGATTTTTTTGTTTTCCTTAAAAATCTGAGTTTTTAGGAATAAGAGAGACCTATGGAAGTGAAGCCAGCAATGTCCATGTTCCCTTCCAGGTGATAAATAGGGAGCTACAATTGTTTTTTATTCACAATTATTGATTTGCTCTTCATCAGTATAATTCATGGTCAATTTGCATGGCAAAAAGAAAGCAACGAATATTCATTTTAAAGAAAATTAATGTAGCCCAGTTGATTATATGGTGAGTTTTATTGGAAACTTATTTTGAGTTTATCTTTTTGGGGTATAACTTTGGGAAAACTCACATAATGGAAAGTTTGGACATTTTATGCCACCATAGCACCAGAATATGTTGGTAAAATGTCGCCAACATGCGAAGACTAGTGGATGTCTCACACTGCGCATGTGCAGCAAGTAACCCCCAAGTGAATACACCGGCAATAGGCTATGAACATACGTGTTGTATGTGCATTAAATATCCGTTTAGGCAAATCTTCTTTAACCTCTCGCATTAGCAACGACATTTAATTTCATTCGGGTGGCAGCTCACATTTTAGAGTTTGAACCTTAAAATAAGTTAAAGGGAATATACATCATTTGCTTTTGCTGTAATTTTCAGAAATGGATGGAATTGGGGGGTTGGAAATATATAGCAAATATAGTTACACTGACTTTTTTGAGGTTTTGGGTTCGAAAATGCTATAAAAACCGAGAAAAACAATCATTTTCCTGTAGTCTGGTTCCCTGACTCCATATAAGAAGAAACAGAACAGTTTACATACATTGGGGAATTGTAAGGTCAGGGAACCAGTCTAGCTGGCTTGTACCCGTTCATAGGTGTGTAATCGATTGCAAACAAGTGCGATGGTCAATTGGGGCCAGTATTTGAAAAAAAGCCAGTTTTTTTCCAACGCTGGTCGGCCGACCAGCGTTGGAAATTGATACAATAATTACAACTTTTCTTGAAAATGTCAGTATACCAGGTACCATGATTTTACAGGATGCTTTACACTGTCATTCACTAACAGTCCAGCAAGGTATTTCAAATTGATTTGGTAGTTTTATTTTTTGATGTTTGCAAATGTTGTATTTTCCCTTTAAACAATGCTGAGTTTCATAAATTCAGCAATGTCACTTGTTTTTACTTGTTGACCTTTGACCTTGACAACCGACCATTGAATGGATTGGAGAGTGGCATCAGACCACATTTCCTTCCTCATCTCTATCCCAATGTAGAATTGTACATCTTCTGTATCCCGGACCTACGCGCTAATTATAGCATAGCTTGTCTGTCTCTCTTTGTTTTACAGCCGCCAGCAAAATCCGGTGCGGAGGCGCACAAAGACTAAAACCCCAGAATATTATGCACGTGTCAAAGCAACATAATATCCACAAAACCAATATCCGTGATTATTATAAAATGCTGCTGTTATATAAAAACCGTGGCAACTATGGTGTTGTATCACAGCCATAGAGCTACATTTGTATGTATTAATTAATCCAGTTCTATGATAACTAAAACAAACGTATCATAATTTTTTCCATTTCACAAACCCCGGTTTCATTTCGGCTGAAGCTTCAGCTATGGCTTCTTAATTATATATCCATGTAGTAGCTGGCGTATCATTCCACCATGTCATCATTGTATGCAAACAAGCATCAGAATCATGCCACACACACAAATAGTGAGTCAGCCTCGAAACATTTTCCTGGTACGAGAAATTGATTCACGTGAAATGTTTTGGGCTGTACAATTGCTTCCTCATCAGTCATGTTTTATTTTGTTTGTTTTTATTGAAAATCAAATACTTTTGTGTTCAGTGACGCGTAGCATGCTTGCTCGATATGTCCTGACTGACTCCTGAGTACGTTAACGTCTCTACTTCCACGGTTCAAATCGTGCCTTTTCTTGTGAAAATTGGCGTTGAATTGAAAAAAAAGTTAATTCGGCCGTTGGGTATTTGTTTGGGGGGGTGTTCCATTCATTTTTAGTGCTTCGGTAATTACTCAGTACGTGCATTACTTCCATGGCGAGGGAGGAGATCAGAGTACATGTATATTAAGAATAAGGGGAATCTTTTTATTTTGCCGGGAAAATACATTGTTTCCAAGCAGCTATTCAAATTTTGTTGAATTCTTGTTGCGAATTGCTTTATCCATTTTTTAAATTTTCGCTTCGAAGTGGTTGCTATTTTTTTTGGGGGGGGGGCCTGGCAGGTCTAGAAAGAAACTGGTTCGGACACAGTATTGAACAAAGCAATCATACATTTCAAGTTGTGTATCGTGACAACAGACTATGTATGGCCTCAGTGCAGGCCTTGCAACTTCATAACGAAGTTCGTTAGAAAACACCCTCAAAAAGTTATTATTGAGTCACAAAACGAAGTATCCTTAGTTTTGTATTGTATGTTTTGAGGGAAATCGTTTTGCTATTCAACTAGAGTAGTGATATACATGTTCATGTACAATCCTATCCAGAGACAATTAATATTGTACAAAATCCGATCCGTGCCCCCTCATTGATAAGGCTGCGAAACATGTCTCTGCATGGTATTAACATTCCCGCGACCCACAGAGCCTGTCATGACAAGTGCTCTAAATTTGGCGGTCACGTCGACCCCAAAGATGAAACGTGTGTTTACATGCATTCTATCATTGCGCGGCTAGCCTTGCTCACTTGCCTTATATGGAAGGCCTACTCAGAAACCTCCGTTGTTGGCATTCCGGTAAATTCCCTTTGTTACAAAGATTGCATTGTGTAATTGGGAGTTGTTTGTATGACATGTACTTCGTGTTGAAATTTGTTCCGACTCTGAGTACGAATTGATGGAGTACTCCCGATTTGTTTTTACACCCCGAGTTTTTATATAATTTAAGATAAGTAAGTTAAGTTAGTAAGTTAAGTAATGTATTTTCCCCGAGGGAAAATCAAATGCAATAAATGGAACAAAAGACGTGCGAAAAGAAAGAAGCGATATGCTAGCGTTAAGGCACCAACTACACGTATTTATTAATCTCCGTATCCTTCCTTGGCAACGTTGTTTTGGTGCTACCGGCAAGGCGATGACGTGACACATGGAAATTCCTTTCATGAAGGGCAGATGACGTACACATGTATCACGATCGATGATTGGGCAATGCCCCATTCATGCCGTTGTCACATGGGACGGCCTCATAGCTATTTTTGGCTCGCCGGGCTCTGATTGGACGACTGATTGATTAGGTGACGTCAGCGGACGCGCTGGATAAAGACACGAGTGAGTAACCGTCATTCTTTCATTCATATATCCGGTGTCGTTGGGTGCGTTTACGTCCCGATTACTACCAACATTCTGAAGCTCACATAAGTCAACGTGTAAAAAGCTTGTCTGGCAACAACTTGGATCATAATATCATCGTAGTTGCAGACTTCTTAGTGAGAATTAAAGCCAAGCATTAACGAACATGGAAGCTCAGCAAATTATCACAATGTCCATCAATAAGATCACCGGCTCGCGTGGACAACGAGGCGGGGTGAACCTTCGGAGAAATCTGTTGGTCGCCACGGTGCTTCACTCGGCCCGAGCCATGTACTACGAGGAAATGTGCAATAGAATGGCCAGGAATGCTGAGCTACAGTCCAGTGAGAGAGATATGAGTGACGAGGCGGAGGAAGATGATTGTACTGAATCCCCGGACTGGGGAGATTCGAGTAACTCCGAGGAAGAGTCGTCCATGGAACAATCATGTGAGCGTGTGGAGGCTGAATCAACCGAACCACCCATGGCAAAAATGGAGGACAAAGAAAACTGTCAGCCCGCTCAGCCCACCGATTCCTCGTCGTTGCAGGCGAGGCTGGAGAAACCCGAACTGGGCAGTACTCCGCTTGTCGCCGAGGCGAAGTCGGACTCATCATCGGACAAAGAGCGATCGGTGCTTGGACAAAAGAACACCAACTCGCCTCCGTCAACATTCGGCTGCAAGGCATGTAAGCGCAAGCGGTCGGACTCGGCTGAGGAGTTGCGTGAAGCATGTGAATCCATCCTGCCAAAGCGGGCTAAATCATCGGACTCGGAGTGCCAAACTGAGGAACTGCCATCAACCACAACACCACCAACAAAACAGAACTCGGAAGGCTCTATCACGAGTCTAGTCAGTATTTTCAAATCCGGTTTCCACGGACTCTCGGGTGATGCCAACCCCAATGGTAAATCCACGAACATTGGGTCCAGCGGCAACCACCTCCAACAGTCGTCATACGGATCTTCGATGCCCAGACCGTTCGAGCAACTACAGATGCCCATTGCCGCCTGCTAAACAAAAACTGTTGGAATACAAAACTCTTGCTGAACTGTCGATGTTCTTTTAGTCCTCTAAAACATGTTGATTTGATTGATTTTATGTGTACAATTTCAATTATGTGCCTTTGGATTCAAGCTGACCATGCTTACCTAAAATTGTTCAAATATGAAGGGAAAGGTTCATGTTTTCGGCCCTACTTGAAAATCCTGGCAATTTCTCTGGCCTATTTTTTCATCATAAATTAATAAAAAGAGAAAACATCATCCTCGACCGACGCAATACTGCGCCATATCGTTCTGGTTTACGTTTTAAAAGTGAGAAATTGTGAGATCATTTAACAACGCGGTTACACACTGTTTTTGATTTGTACGGGTTTATGATGTGGCACATTCGACTGGGTCCGAAAAAAAATCGAGTTTGTTTGCTTTGTCCGACAATTGCTTTGTCAGACGGGATTTGCGTGGTTCTGTCTCGGGCGTGCCAAGGCCTTAGGTACAATAGCCCGTCACCCACACAAAAGGGCCATTTGCGTGAACACCGAATGCATGGAATTTTTTCGCGGGATAAGGGGTCATGTGGGGGAGAGCAACCGCATGCTGGCCTCGCCCTATATCCCCCGCAGTCCCCGCTGCGACGTCGTGAAATGCACAGCTTACAGTTAACTGTAAGCTGTGAATTTCCGGTGTTTTGTTGTTTAAGCTCTAGTGATATTCAAACAATCACAGTGGACAAATTGTCGCGCATCAAGCTCAGAGCATAAGAACCCAAACACTTGTGGGCGTGTGCAAATTCATATGAAAAGTGGAGAATTCAGGACCATTAAGGTTTTGGATATTTCATGTTCAATCAACCTTTTTAGAGAGAAAAAATGGTCTCATAATTTCACATTTTCTTTTCTTACATCTGAAGTTTTTTTCTGAAAAGGTTGCTGATCAGCAGAATTTTGTGATGTGGAAAGCCCTTCCCATCAGACAGGACATGGCTATTTGTGTGAACTTCCTTGACTATGTGTCAGTGCTTCCCGCGGGGTTACGTTTTTGTGCAATAAATACCTAAAGCGATATGGATATTGCAATTATCTGCCAGCATTCCCGCTTATCCTATCGGATATGCCGCGTTTATGATGTAGCCATGTCTCACATCCGGGAAAAGTTTGACCAATACTAGTACAAGTGCACGTGTTGGTTCGGAAAATATTTGCTTGTGTCTAGAATTAACTCTGGATATTTTTATATACAAAATTATGCCAACATGTTAAACACCTTGTCATGATATCATTAAGTGTGCATTTGCGATATTTTTCCTGGACATAATTGCGAGTTATCGGAATTGGACACTAATTTTACATTATTTGACATCTATATTTTTATAGTTTAAATGAGTATGGAAATGGTCATCAATTGTTTCTATATCACGTGTGGTGCTTATCATTACACCACACAACGCCACCCTCTATGATGAAATAATTTTGGCACCATATGGTAAAACACTGTTTGGTAATTTTCCATCGATCAAATACCATGAACCTAACATCACGTGTTTCCCGTTATAAAGGTCAAGCAAGTTGAGTGAACGTGGATTACAAAGTCCATATCCGCAGTATAAGCCCAGATGTGACTGACATCACACTATGCGTGGTGACAGTTGTGTTGCATCATCATATACGTACATCTTGACAAAATCACGTGTAATTGATAATAAGACATGGCACCAATTATTATTTGACCATTCTTACAACAAAAATCCTTACTGTCTATTTTCCGTACGTTATCTAAATTCACAACATGTAATTGACCGTTTGTATCTCGATGTTAATATCAAACTTTCAATATCAACATGCCTTAGCACATTTTAAAAACATCAGGCCCAGTATGTATATATTTTTTGATCTCAAAACATGTGACCATTTTTGTGGTCGGAAAAGAAAACCTGAATTTGTGGTGTTTGTAATTTCTTTGTTTTAAATTCGATGGTTCAATGTTTTTCCGATTTGTGTTTGGCCTTAAAGATTTGATTAACACATTGGATTTTTTTTCTCCAGTCCACGTTTGTTTTGGGTATACATGTATACATGTACATGTGCATGTATAATGGACATTCTCTATAATCCAGTATAAAACTAACAGTTTTATTTTTGACCAACCGACCTTTTTCCCCTATACTTTTAAACTTGCCTATGTGCCCATTTCAACGATACTTAATTTTTACGAGCCCAAAACACTCAGTAGAATGCGCTACGTCTTCGATGCAGCACATGTCATGGCAGGTTGCAAGTTCCGCCTCCCCTCCGATCCACCCCCCCCCCCCCACCTCCATTGGGTTGGATGATGCCACCGTCATACACACAATGTACTTGAAGCACGCACCATATCGAAGACCATAAAAGTGCTGTAATGCAAGATGTACAATGTACATGTATTCCAAAAGAATCATAGGATTCATAGGCAAACAACACTTAGTTTGCTGAAAGGAAATAATATGTTTATGCATTTTAATAAGTATAACTGTCCATCGCATTATTATTGAAGTACTTGTAGCTACGAAAGCTCATGCACATTTTATTTTCTTATTAGTTATTTAAGTGCTGCCTGACTTTTATTTGATTTTGTGTGACTAACATTACACGGCTGCCCACCACTTTTAGATCATTATTGAGCTTATACGATGACTGGAAATGCAATAACGTTAACTAAAATGTACATTTACATTACTAACTTGTGGCTAACGTGAAAGGAGTGCGGTTGCTTTTGGGTTGAAAGAAAAGCAAGGCCGGCCGGCCGGCCCGCCCTTGTAAACCTACGTAGTAACCTTGTTGACAGTATGACGTGTCACGTATGCATGCCATTATAGTGACACATTGTGCGCCCGGCCGTGTGCATACGTAATTATTATTAAATATGTGCAATATAACAGGTTTTTACCGGTTATTGTATTTTGGGCCTCAATTCCATGGAAAGATACTAAATTGTCGGGCTTAGTTCTTAATTTGAATAGCGCTTATTTTAGTGCAGTTTATTTCAAGAATGTATAGGCCTAGCATTAACATTTGCAGCAATTCTCCCATATTCGATACTAAGTATGGACCGAAGCGGATTTATTTTAATGTACATCAACACTTTTTTTAATACAGGTTTTCCCGATATATTAAAATGTTTTCATTCCAATTGACCGTAATACATGTAGGCCTACTCAAATTCGTCCGAGAAGAATTTCCCAAGCTTTCAGTAAAATCAATTTGGTCATTTATTATTTAGTTTTAAAGTTTGGTCGGTCCATTTAGGTACTTCAAACAAGAATATTCATCAACAGATTGAATTCGTCTTGGCTATTGCCGAATGGCAGCAATCACAGATCGAATTCGTCTTATATCAATGAAATACATTTGTGTTAAGTATTGATAAGTCTGGTGTATGCTAAAGTATTTTCCTTGTGTCCTCAAACACAATTCGACACGTTAGTTCGCATGATGTTATCAGACCGTGTATGTGTTGAACGAACAGAACAGAACATTGTAAAGACCACAACAAAACATGAAGTCCTTTTAACTTTAGACACGAATAAAATAAGTGTTAAAACTGAGGAGGAATTGTCAAAAAAATAAAATACGATGAACCTTAACTTCCGCTGTAACGTTGTTTTTGTGCGCCTAAAATAAAATTAGAAACAAACACTAAAATTAGAAATAACAAGGAAATCAAAAGAAACGTGTGGAAATGTTTTCTTATCAGTGGCCTATATGCCTTGTACTGGAGATATCATAATGAAGTACGACGACATTAAACCAAATTATGTTGAAACTGTGTGGCATTAGACGAATTTGTTTTGTGAATAACACGGTTCGGCGTGGACGAGACGAAATCCAATACCTTTTGACGAATACATGTATGTGTTTTCATGGTTTGAATTTGTTGCAACTAAAATTCGAAATTACACATTGAAAGTGCACTAAATCTATTTGGGGAATACGAATCGGTGAGTTTGAATGATAAACGTTTTAAAATAGCCGGGAAAACCAGGCTATACACTGCGTCTAACGATAGATCCGTGGTCTAGCGTAGTTTTCTGCGAATTGATATTGACGAGTTTCATAAATAAGTCAGTTTGGTTACGTAACAGTAAAACTGTTATTTTGTTCGTCGCATGCTGTGCGTAGGCAGGTTCTGGGGGCGTTCTATTCAGCCTCGTAAGATATGTACCTCCCGCAGAAAGGTCAATCTCTTGCTCATCCCTCCTCTCGCTCTCTATACTCGCCTTGCCACGCCCCCGCTTCCGATTATAAAGCAACAACAAAACGAATCACAAGTCGCCTTTGAGCTATTTTTTTTAATACGTTGACACGTTTTAGGGCTTTCTTTTTACAGGGAGATAAATCAACATTTTCACGTCTTAATGTCTGCAACATGATGATAAATTACAGTGTCAAATTGAGTATTGTATCAAGGTACAGTGCCAAATTGAGTATTGTATCAAGGGAATTGTCCCAAGAGCAAAGAATGCTCTTTGGACGGCCTTCTTCAGATACATTTCGTGGAATGTACTAATCACGCATGCGTGAGAATAGATCTACCGCTTACACATGCAGTCCCATCATGATGTCTAAACCATATATAGCTGCGCCAATAGCAGTTCTACAAGTACTCATTTCTCTCCTAACGTCCGTAGGTTAGTTATTAACTTAGTAAGCTATGTACATGTAGTTAGTTATAAGTTAATAACAAACGTTCACATTGTCTATTGCTCCTACATATTTTGACCGATTTCAACCAAACTTTGTCAAAGGCAGCCCAGCTCCAACCTTTTTTCATGACCAAACTGGTCAAGGGTCATCATGAGGTCAAGGTCAAAATGATTTCAAATTTCAGATCAGCTCAAATAAATGCAGGCTTAAATGACTAAAGTAGCGCTGTAAACATGTTGGGCTTGGTCAAATATTAAAAAAATGTCCAGGACTCTTCATCTGACCTACAGCTATGTGGTTAAAGGTACAAAAGAAGAAAAGAAAAAAGGTGAACACGTATTCGTTGTCCTGCAGCTTCCGAGATCCGATCGGGCTTGTTTTGGTACAGTGGTCAAAATCGGTTTTAACATTTCTTTTTTTCATTATATGTTACATCTCAGATTAATCATATTTCATATCATTAAATGGTTGCCTTATTGTACATCGTGTACAGCCAACATGGAATGGTGCATTGTCGAATTCTGCACATGAAGACTTCCGAGAATTCCACTGCTGTGATGCAATCTGTACTCTCGCTACGGGTAGCAGTTCAGCTTTTGCCAAAGTGACTAACTTGTATTGCGTGGCATCTTCCAGGAAATCGCTTTACGGTTTAGAGGAAACGGGGAAAGGGCATTTTTGTAAACAGAATTATAACCGTTACATGCGCTTGGACTGTACCAGGAAAAAAATAATATACATGTAGTGGAAATAGAATGGTTCTTGGTGCTGGTGTCATATTCGTCCTTGGAGTTGCTCGTATACGTCCCTAAGCTTGTTTTGATACTTCTCTCACATTATTCACAATTAAGTCAGCACGTATTGACTTTTTATCGACGAAATGTGACAATTGAAATAGTGGGAGGGTTCTTTACTTCTTATTAGATTCAATTTCTTACATTGCCTAATGAAATTGTGACCGCTGACATTTTAAGCACTAGTTATTTAGGATAGAACGATTTGAAATCCTTATACACCTATGGTGCACATTCACCCGCAGATTGCCAAATTTAGCGTTATAGATTGTTTGCTTACCACATTAAATTTCGCAGGTCTGGGTAAAACATGCACAATATTGTCTTTTTTTTGAGAAAGTGAGTTATCTTATTAAAGGCGCGCGAAACGACCTCAAAATTGCATTTGGGACGTGAACGTATATTTCGCAATGTGTCTCCAAAACAAACATTGACGGTCATCGCTATTTTCTGCTGTGCAACCTGCACAGCTTTTACTCTGTGAGCAAAGCGTCAATTATTATTATTATTATTATTTATTCGGCCAACAAATGAACAAAAGTACAATGACAAAGCAGAGATATATCAAAAAGTAAACAAAATTGGAAATTGAAAAAGTATGACCAGACAAGACTGAAGGATGCGAGAAGGAATGGGTCGGGGGAGGGAAGGGAGGGTGGACAGTTTGACAGGGGAGAGAAGATAGAGGGACAGAAAACAAGGACAATATAACATTCCAAACCGACCAGGGTAAACAAAAGTGTACTTAAACACTGTAGTCCTAAGGCCTGCCTACCTCTACGTACGCTGGTTAAACGCAATGATCCAGAAGGCATTGAAATACCATACACGGTGCGATCTTTCGCCACATCCTGAACAGTCATACGGATAAAATGCGCTCTTTGATCGTCTCTCTAAAACCACGAAACCGCGCAAAGCGTAGTCTTTTCCTCGTGCAGCTTTATAAATTTATCTGATCAAATTCTGGCATGCAGGATCATGTTAGACCAACTGGGTAAAATAGGGTCCTGTGATATCAAAACCAACGCATGTACTGCACTTGGTATATCTTCACAGCGTTACATATTTGAATGGTATCCGATTTGCAGGCACTGATCTGATACTAGGTGGATAGGTGAATGTGGGCGGATAAGTGGATGGAGGGACGGATACAAACCATTGAGAAGGGTGTCTTTTTGGTCTATATATGGCTTGATTGAGTTATGGGAATTGTTAATTAACTAAACCAAATTATATCAGAAAATCTTCTATATATAGGCGTACTTTGCTTCAGCAATGGTCCTGTTGCTGTCATGTGTATACACGGTATCGCTGTATTGGAACAAAAAAACCGAGTCTGCACTAGCAAAACAAACACTTTCAACATGCAAGTTGTTCCTTCCAATGGTCGAAGCTCGGATCGTCCATGCGCAAAGTATCAACTTCAATATACGCACAATGCAGGGCATGTGACCGGAGATCT